AACCAAAGGTGCTCCACAACGACAAGCCGCCATTTGCCCAGCTCACAGCGAGCACACAACCGTCAGGACTCCACTTGAGCTCGTTAACAGCGCCCAAGCTGCCAGGCGGCACATTCTCCGTCAACACGAGTCTGTGTGAGTACTCCAAGCCGGCCGTAGCATCGTCTATTGCATACACAGCCACCGCTGAGCTCTGCTGTCCGTAGGCCAGCAATCGAAACTTATGGTTCACGCTGCAGACACTTGCATCCGCAACATCTGGCACCCAGCAGCCGTGCATGTGTGCCGTCTCGAAACGCAGATGATCCGCTATCAGAAACGCCGCACGCTGATCACTGAATACGGCCGCACAGCCGCCTATAAAGGGTGAATACTCCAGACAAGCCACATAGGCCGAGTTACCCATGGTCGGCAAATATTTAGCGGGTTGCTGCTGCTGTTGCTGCACATAGAAGGGAATGTCGCGGAGTTTAATGACAGCCAACGGTTTCAGCTCCTCAGTGACAATTTCCAGCTGTGACCACTGCAGGCGCAGTAGCTCACATGTTTCCGTAGCCAAGAGCAGTTCACTCAGACTGATGCAGCACACAGTGGAGATGACAGCGTCTAGCTTTAAGCAACGCACTTCGCGCAAACTCAGGCGGGGAATGTTTTCCTTTATGAACAGCTCAGCTGAATCTCTTTTCAGACTCAATGCAGGCGGATCTACCTGCATTAGTATCCCACTGCCATTGGCATCAAAATCCAATTGATACAACAGCAATGCGCCGGCGTCAGTTAACACGGCCAGTTGTCTGGAGTCGGGCTTCCATATGATCAATTGATTGCTGCCAAACTCCTGCAGAGATTCGGCGCTGCGCCGATAGTAAGCAATGGGCAGCAGAGGGTTCGCATACCAAATCCCCAGAATATCCGAGTCAACGGCGGCGACGAGTATTTTGACAGCATCGCAGCTAATGTGACGTATGTGAGTCGCTTCGCCAGGCAGCGCCAAGCTGACGCGCTTGGGCCAGCCCAAAGGAAAGTACATCCTCTCTCCAGCGAGCAAATTGCTGTTGTGCAGAGAAAAGGCAATATTGTTATAATTGACCAGCAAATTAACATTTTCAAGTACTCACACTTTAGTTACTAATAAATTACACGACAAAATTTACATGTCTATTGACTAATTAGCACTTTAACAAAACATTTGCCATAATTTAATAAAAAAAAATCACTACCATTTACGCGTATACAAATAGAAGTGTTGCATAACGACCTAAAATCACAGCTGTTAAGCTGTCGTTCTACAACACATCAATTACGTCTCCTTGGAAAGGCTGGCAACTCTTTTAGGATAGTATGCTAATCGCAGAAAGAACCAATAATATTTTTATTACTTAATATACGGCAAATATAATATATTTAAAGACATGGACTGAGAGATATTTATACAAATTTCATAGGCCCAATCGATTTTTATGGGTAGCAATTAGGACCGTTGCGTAGAGAACAAGGAACTTACATAGCTTGCTTTGATTTTGCTTTCAAGAGTTAGCGTACTCTGCTGAACTGAGTACATGGTGAACGTCAATTGAGTACATTGGTGAAAATTTTGTAGCCGGTCTGAGAGTGCAGACATAAATACAAATAGTTGTTTTTAAGTGAACAAAAAAGAAATGACTGCATTTGAAGGCAAGTCTATATATTAATTAACTTATCATATATCTTTTGAACCCCCTAATATTTCTCAAATGCCTTCGCAGAGTTTGGTGTGCTGCCAGAACTGGGCAAAGCGACCGATGAATTGGACTGGACGTAAGTTAGCTCTTATTTAAAAAATTTTATCAGGCTTCTGTACGAATATCGTTTTTTTCTCTGAAGTTTACCCACGGACGTGCAGGCAGAGGCCATTCCACTTATACTGGGCGGAGGCGATGTCTTAATGGCTGCCGAAACAGGCTCCGGCAAAACGGGCGCCTTCTGTTTGCCCATTCTTCAAATTGTGTGGGAAACAATTCGCGATTTGCAAGCGGGTAAGTCGGGTAAAACTGCTAATGGGACAGCGGGAGCTGCCGCCCCTTGGACTATGTCCTTCTTCGATCGTAATAACGCACTGGCCGTAACTCCGGATGGCTTGCGCTGCCAATCTCGCGAATTTAAGGAATGGCACGGCTGTCGGGCCACCACTGGCGTCTATGGCAAAGCAAAATTCTATTACGAAGCGACAGTTACCGATGAGGGCTTGTGTCGTGTGGGCTGGTCTACGCAGATGGCCAATTTGGATCTGGGCACATGTCGGTATGGCTTTGGCTTTGGCGGCACTGGCAAAAAGTCGAACAACCGTCAATTTGATGATTATGGAGATTCCTTTGGCAAGGCAGATGTGGTCGGCTGTATGCTAGACCTACAGCGACTTGAGGTCAGCTTCACCAAGAACGGCACGTCCTTAGGTGTGGCATTTAAAATACCTGAAAATCTGCGCAATGATACCTTTTATCCAGCTGTTGTACTGAAAAATGCGGAGATGTTGTTCAATTTTGGCAAAACGGATTTTAAGTATCCACCAGGCAATGGTTATATAGCCGCATGTCAGGCGGGTCCTGAACATAGCACAGCCAATCCATTAGCAAGCCCCGCAGCCAACACAGCTGCAAGTAAACCGGCGCCTAATGCGCCACAGGCCATCATTATTGAACCCAGTCGCGAGTTGGCGGAGCAGACCTTCAATCAAATAGAGAAATTCAAGGTGCATCTGAGCAATCCCGAAGTACGTCCGCTGCTGCTCATTGGCGGCGTTCGTCTGGAGGAGCAAAAAGCGGAACTGCAGAAAGGAATACACATTGTGGTAGGAACGCCCGGTCGCCTCGAGGAGCTTATCAACAGCGGCTTTGTGCAGCTCACGCACTGTCGTTTCTTTGTGCTGGACGAGGCGGATGCGCTGCTTAAACAGGGCTATACGGACCTCATTGAGCGGCTGCACAAGCAAATACCAAAACTTACTAGTGATGGCTGCCGCCTGCAGATGATTGTGTGCTCCGCCACCTTGCATGCATTCGAAGTGAAGAAGATGGCCGAACGCTTGATGCACTTTCCCACCTGGGTGGATCTTAAGGGCGAGGATGCTGTGCCTGAGACAGTGCATCATGTAGTGTGTATGGTCGACCCACATATAGACGGTAGCTGGCAGCAACTCCGTCAGCCAATACACACTGATGGTGTACACGATCAGGATAATGTCCATCCCACGAACCAATCTCCAGAGACTTTTTCGCAGGCTGTAAAGCTGCTCAAGGGCGAGTATTGCATTCGGGCCATAGAGCAGCATAAAATGGATCGCGCCATCATCTTCTGCCGCACCAAACAAGACTGCGACAATTTGGAACAGCATCTACGCCAACGTGGAGGTCAACGCTACTCGTGCGTCTGCCTGCATGGTGATCGCAAGCCACAGGAGCGCAAACAGAATCTGGAAATGTTTAAGCGCCAGCAAGTCAAGTATCTCATCTGCACAGATGTAGCCGCACGTGGACTGGACATCACAGGATTGCCATTCAGTAAGGATTTAAAGGTTTTTATCTGAAAAACATTTTCAACTTCCCCAACATTGCAGTGATAAATATAACGCTGCCGGACGATAAATCCAACTATGTCCACCGGATTGGCCGCGTGGGTCGCGCCGAGCGTATGGGCCTTGCAATTAGTCTGGTGTCTACGGTGCCAGAGAAGGTATGGTATCATGGCGAGTGGTGCAAGACTCGTGGACGCAACTGTCACAACACAAATTTAACCGATGTGCGCGGCTGTTGCATCTGGTACAATGAACCAAATTTGCTTGCCGAGGTGGAAGATCACCTGAACATAACCATTCAGCAGGTGGACAAGTCTTTGGATGTGCCGGTCAATGATTTCGATGGCAAGGTAGTCTACGGTCAGAAGAATCTCAACATGGGCACAGGCTATGAGGATCATGTGGAGCAGTTGGGGCCAACTGTGCGCAAACTAACTGATTTGGAATTGCAATCACAATCTTTATTCTTGAAACGCTTAAAAGTCTAAACTGGTTCGATTGGTTTGGGTTGTTACACGATCCGAAATACTTTCACGGTTACGAGTACATAAAATACATAAATAGACTAACATTAAAATCTTGTGTTTAATGAGTACAGCCTCAGTTTGAAGTTGTTCTTTCGGAGAGTGCCTTTCAGTTACTCATCCTCCTCCTCCTCCTCTTCTTCGTCCTCTTCATGGAATTCAGTACGCATTTGCTGCAGTTGCCGCAGCTGCTGACAGAGCTTATTGCCAAAAGATTCCACATAGCGTGGACTAATCTTGTCTAGCAGCGCATAGGGCGTCTCAAATATCTCCTCCTCATCCCGTTCCCCGTCGCCGTTCTCTAACACTTCCGACCTTAGTGCCTTGTCCTCATCGATAGTGTCGTATTGCGAGGAGACTATTTTAAATCCACGATTCGTCACTTCTACACAGCAGGTGGCACTCTCTATAGTGCGAATGTTAAGATAAATCTGCGTGGCACTGCTGGCCAACTTCGAGGATATTGCTATTTCAGCCACGTGCGCCTTTACATCGTTTATGATGGCATTCGCCTCGTCAATGCAGTTGAACTCCTTCTCGTCGCCTTCCTGCATATTGGAAATGTTTTTAATTTAACTCTTTAGACTTTTCCTTGACTTTACAAGAGCAACATGTTTTTTGGGCCGTATCTCTGAAAACAGCTGTGTATAGAACAAACAGTATCGACTGCCAACTGAATTAATTATCGATGTATCGATTAACTTTATAAATCGATTATCGATTACCTTTGGCCAAGCATTTATTTACAAACTATTGTTTTCCAATTTCATTTTTGATATGTTTTTAAATCTCTCCATTTTCTTTCGAAAATCTCACTGTAGCGGATTAACATATTTAATCGTAGTTCGTTTTTCAAATCTTCGATAGAAAGTCGTTTGTTCTCATCGATAATTTCTAATATTTATCGCTCTGCGCATGGCACCGGCATGGCTCAGACTCAAATTGAAACAGCCATAAAACTGCTGCTCCAGGAAGCCGAAGAGCTATGCATTGGTGGACAAATATCGGAACTGCAGCAGACGCCCAGCGCATTGGAGTTCGCACGTGATTACTATGCCAAAAATGCGCCCGTGGTCATACGCCAGGCTGTGGCGCATTGGCCTGCAGTACAGAAGTGGACGCCGGATTATTTGCAGACGACACTAAATGACAAAGTTCTGGATGTGGCTGTCACACCCAATGGCTATGCTGATGGTCTAGCCACCCAGGCTGGCGAAGAGTATTTCGTGTTACCGCTGGAAACAGAGATGCCATTATCTGAACTATTGAAGCGTCTGGATGATCCCATGGGTGCCGTACACTACATACAAAAGCAAAATTCCAACTTCAGCCTAGACTTTCCGGAACTAGCCGGTGATATTGTGTCCAGTGATTTGGACTTTGCAGCACAGTGCTTTAATAAGCCGCCTGATGCCGTCAACTTTTGGCTGGGCGACGAGCGTGCCATTACCTCCATGCATAAGGATCCCTATGAAAACTTGTATTGCGTTATTTCGGGCTACAAGGATTTCATATTGTTGCCACCGCACCAGCTCTGCTGTGTACCACGGCGCAGTTATCCAACTGGCATCTACAAGCGCAAATCATGTGGCCAGTTTTATATCGAGCCCTTGATTGATAATGGCGAAGTGCAGCAGACTGAATGGGTCAGCATTGATCCATTAGCACCTGACCTCGGCACATACCCACAATATGCCAAAGCGCGCCCTTTGCGTGTACGCGTTCACGCGGGTGACGTGCTCTACCTGCCCAATTATTGGTTCCATCACGTGCGGCAGAGTCATAAGTGCATTGCTGTCAATTTTTGGTATGATATGGAATACGACAGTCGCTATTGTTACTATCGTATGCTGGAGCAGCTCACAAAGAAATCAGATGAACTAAAATAGTCAAGAGTCAATGTTAATTTGCATCGTTATCTGTAAATTTATAAATTTTTGTTACATTTCTAAGCCAGTAATATATAAAAGAACAATCGTACCATTTCTGGAGCAATACCCTAGATGTTTTTTCTGTTCGCCCGCTACTTGAATTTTATATCCAATTCGGATCGGATGGTCTTCTCTTGTTCTTCATACTCCAGCAGCTTCATCACAAAAAATTGGTGCCCTTTTTGAGTTTTACATATATAATAAGTATATAATTTAATACAAACTAGACATTTAAAAAAAACCGAAAAGACAAATCGAAAAACAGGCCGCTTGTTGCAGCTAGTAACTAATTTTGTATGTATGTATAGGTATGTCATATGTATGGTATAAGTATATATATATATATATATATATGCTTGTGTATATACGAATGGTTGGGAATGTTCCTTGGATGTGTCACCTACAGGACTAGCTAACTAACTTATTTTAATCTAAACTGATATTCTGCGTTTCTTGAGCTGCAGCTGCGCTGGCCTCCTCATCGGGGTTCTCATTGTTCTCGCACTCCGTCTCGCCGCCATTTAACGTAACCTTTTTCTGATCTGCCTCGGCTAAATCTCCATCATTGTTGGAATCCTGCGAATGCGACTGGGCACGCACGCGTTTATTGGCCTGTTTTTTGTTGCTCACCGGGGCAACTCTTTCCTCCTTACTCTTGATTTTGGGCGTGCTGCCAGTGCTCGGCTGCTCTACCACAAACAGCTGCTCCAGATATGAGCGATACCAGAGCAAAAACTCATCGCGCTGTCGCGGCATTTCCATCTTCTTAATCTTTGCATAGATGCGTTTGGGCGAGATGAGCGGCGAGGCGGCATTTGGCGTCCAGCTGGCTGCGGAGTTTTGTGCCGCATTGGCAGTCAGCTTGGAAACCTCAGCAAGCAGCGAATCATTGATGATGGTATTGTTATGCGTCTGGTTGCGTATGCGTTTGATTATGTACTCAATAAGCTCGTGATCGGGTGACAGCTCAATGCTGGCCGCAGGCGTGGCGGCGCGTTCAATGACCACCTCAATTATTTGCTTAAAGTAAAAGTGTGACGTGCAATGACCTGCTGCAGCAATGCATTAACAAGAGCTACTTACATCTTCGTTATCCAAGGGCACAGGTCCAGCAGCTGCCTCTGAATGTTCGTCCACTGATGCTGATGCTGATCCAGCTGCAGCTGCAGCTGCTGGTACTGCCTGCATTGGCAAGCTATTCTCATCCTCGGGCCTGTCGTTAGCAAGCTGCTCCTGCAACGATTCATTGCCACTTTCCGTGGCCTCCGTTAGCTCACTTACAGTTCCATTCTCGGCCGGCTGTGCACTGGGCACCTGTCCCTGATTGAGCGTCTTGCGCAGACTATGCACTTCGTTATAAAGTTGCTGTTCGCCTTGTTGCTGTTGCATCTGTTGCTGCTGCTGCTGTTGTTGTTGTTGCTGCTCGAAAAGAGTTTCTAATCTTCTATACACATCCTCCTTGATGGATTCGTAAAATTTTGTGGTAAATTTATCATTTTTCAATGCATTCACTAGCAAATTACGGTTTAACTCCTCCGAAGCCGTTTCCTCTGTTTGTTCAAGCATCGCATTGGATTCATCTGGAACAACCGACTCCTGTGCTGTAACATTATATAAGGGAGCAGCTGGCGGTGCCTGCAAGGCTGGCGGCACCGGCAGATCGTAGTCCATGTATTGAGCAGGCAGTTCGAAATCGAATCGCAGATGACGTTGCTGCAAAGGCGTTAGAGACACCGCCGACGTAGTCGGCTTAGCTGGAACCTTATTACGCTGATATAGTGGACTATTCACATTCATGTTGAAAAAGTTAGATGATCCAGAGCTAGCGAGCTCCTGCAAGGCAGACTCTTCGTCACGCAGCGTAGGCATCTGACGACGACGATTGCGGCGCCTGCCTCCACTGCTGCCATACATAGCAGTATCATTATTATCATCATCCTCGACATCGTCCTCCTCGTGGGCATTGTTGCGCCAATCGCGATTGCTGCTGTTACTGTTGTTCAAGTTGTTGCTGTTGCTGCTGTTGTGCAGATGCTGCTGTGGTGACGCCTCGTAAAAGTGACGATGCGTCTGTGCCTGTTGCTGCTGCTGTTGCTGCTGCTGTTGTTGCTGCTGCTGCTGTTGTTGCTGCTGTTGTTGTTGTTGCTGCTGCTGTTGTTGCTGCTGCTGTTGTAGTAATAAGCTGCTTGGGCCACTGCGTGCGGTGTGTGGTAGATGAAAGTAACTGGGACGCTGACGTTGTCTTTGTATTTGACGATATTGATGCTCCACATTGAGTTCCTCATTGCTTTTATTAGAAAGCAAATTTTGACGCGTATAGCTGCAAAGCGCACAAATATTAATGGGTTAATAAAAGCGAGCAACAAAATGTATTAAATATGCAAAAAAGAAAACTGTTTTCAACAAGTCTGTTCAGGTTAACAATTCTCTAAATTTTGAACATACATAAATTTCTTGCAAACATGTTTTCACATTAATGTATAAATTTATAAACTCTTACCAGACAATTGGTTTTAAGGAGTTTATGAATTATATATTCAGTATTGCAAGCACTTGAACAAATGTTTTAGTTTTTAAGAAAATGAAAAAAAATAACCAAAATAGTCGTTAGTTAGCTCAGTTATAAAGCATTTTGGGCATAATCGTAATGCTCGTGAATATTCTCTTCTCACTACTTACTTATTGAATACTTTAGAAAATTTGATTAAAAATAAATGAAAATTGTTCGTAGCATTTTTGGTCGAGGCACTTCGTTCTATATTTCTTTTTATTACTTTGGAAAAGATTTTAAATTAACAGCTCTTTGGTTTCCAATTCTTAGAAATCAATAGAGAATAAATGAATAACTGGCTAATCCATAAGAAAGAACCCGACACCATATGATTATATTTAGTATGGCGCTTTACCTTCGGAAGTTATCCCAGTAGTTGTTGGCGCGATTGCCCGGTGGCACCTGATTGTTCAGTGTGGGCGGTGGAACAGCGTCCTCCGGCAACGAATGCAAATTGTTGGCATGTTGATTCTGTGTACGCAAATTTGCATTGTTCTGGTGTATGGTATTGTTATGATGATTCATAAATATCGGTCCCGGACTGGCGCGATACGAGGGCGGCGACAACGGCGTTTCGTTGTTATAGTGTGTTGGCGGCGGCGGCGGCGGTGGCGCGGCGTTGTTTAAATATGTCTGCGGCTGATGATCGCTGCCACTGTAGATATTGTTGCGATGACTGCTACGCTGATAGTTGCTGAAGGCGCTTTGATGCGAGGCCCCAAAGCTATACATCTGCTCCGACTGGGCGCGAGCGCTGCCGCCAAGGCAAAGATTGTTGGGTGGAAGACCCCCAGCAACTGGCGGCACAGACTCCGAGCGTAGACTAAAGGCGTGCTCTTGGCACGAGGCATTCAGACGTTCCTGCAGCTGTATAATGAAAAGCAAAATAGATTTAATAGAAAATCTCGTTGGACTATCCGCTCAAATGTACAAATGGTATCATCTTTAAAAGAAAAAGTTAAATTGCTTAAACTCTATTCTCACCGAATGTATCTGACTGTTTAGGCTATCAATCTCACGCTGTTGATGCCACAAAGTCTGATTGCACTGACAGACCGAGTTGATGAGCATTTGCTGAGTTTGCATAAACTGCTGTAGCAGCACAGCATCTGGAGTTGGATTGGCACTCGAAGCCTGTGAAGAGGCAGCCGCACCCGGTGCTGGGGGACCACTGGTGGGAGTCGCCGGCATATAGGCAGGCTGTGAATGCCAAGAATTGCCAGCGTTATGTGTGTCTGTTGATATGGAGAGTACAGATTAGTATAATTTATAAAACTGGACTGTCGATTTCCCGCTTACTCCACATGCCCTGAACAGGTGCCATTGGCGGCGGCATATATTGGGATCTGGTGCTGCTCGACTGCAGACTGTCATTACCTAGCGACAGGCTGTCAATGGTCATGTTCAAATCCTCTTCATTGTTTGACATTGATTGAGCATTGGGAGGTTGCTGTTGCTGTTGCTGTTGCTCCGACTGTTGTTTTTGCTGAGTGCGTCGTTGTTGCTGTTCTTGCTGCTGCTGAAGTTGCTGCTGTTGGTGTTGCTGCTGCTGTTGTTGAAGTTGCTGTTGCTGTTGATGATGTTGCTGCTGCTGCTGCTGCTGTTGATGTCTCTCCACAACGGTACTAGCCGAGGGAGTCCTCTTTAGGGTAGCCGAAGATGAAGTGCGCATATGTGCAAAATATCTATCGCTATCGGTGTCATCGTTTCCCTCATCATCAGCCTCTGAAGTGGTATTAGTGTTATTATTGCTGATGATATTGTTGTTGCCGCTGTTGCCATTGTTATTCATAAAATACGCATCATACTCGCGCTGCTTATGCTCGTACTCCTGTCGCAAGTTCTCACATTGCGAACGCAACTCATTGCGCGTAGGCACCTGCGCTCGGCTCGTTGCAATTTCCTCCTGCTGTTGCTCATCCATTTCATGCTGTCTGATGGGCGTTGGCGTTAAACTGTTCCGCTGAAGGGCCTCATCACCCATTTGTACTGCAGCTGCAGCCTGCTTCTTGCGACGTTCAATTTCGGCTTTTAATGCAGTAATTCGATCACGTTCCTGCTGTAAGCAAGCCGCTTCAGCGCGCAGCTCTGAGGTGACGTCGTTTAGAACATGTACACGCTGTGAAAGATCCCGGGGACGTTGCTCATGTCGCTCGGCGCTGTGGCGCTCCAATGCCTCACCGATGTCGGGAGTGCCCTCCTCAATCTGACTGACAGTATTTAGCATGCCCTTCAGTCTGTTCATTTGTGCTTTCAGCGCATCAATGTCGGCAGTCTTCTGGTCAATCATTTTCTGAGCGTGTTGAGCACGCTGTGCAGCCATGGTCGCCTCCTGCCGCAAGATGGGTACATTGCGCTGATACTCGACGGGTACGACGCGCTCATTGCTGGGCTTGGGTAGCTGTTTTGTTGGTGTTAGCTCCCTTGGCGTGTCTGCCTCCTGGCTAGCGGCACGCACCGCTTGTACCTTCTCTTTGGCCTTGCGATTGATGCAGTTTAGCTCATTCACCAAATCACGCATATCCTCTCGCTGCGTACGCAACGATTCCAGTTTCTGTTGCAGCGCTTGTTGTTCGGCCAAAATCTCAGGACCATCATCGCCCAGCACGCTGCTTAATTCGTTTTGATTGTGTATAAAAGCCGTGAGATTCTTCATGCGCCCCACAAGCGACGCCATGTCATCCTGGACTTGTTGAACAGATTCATAGTTTGGCGCATCACCATTACCGTTGTGCGGCAGACGTCCGGCCTGTTGGCGTAGATGCTCCATTTCGTTGAGATGTGTTTTAGCCATGTTTTGTATTTGCAGCAACTTTTGCTGCTCATCCTGCAAATTTTGCATATTGCGATTTGAGGCATCTAAGCGCTGCTGCAGCTCATCAAAACTGGGTGTAGTATCCGGCGTTGGTGTCTCCATGGCACTGTGCAGCGATTGAATAGACTGGGCACGGTTGTCGCTCATCTATTAGTTGTTAAAATAATCAATACTACATGTACTTTCGAAGGGATTCTACTAGTTTACATACCTCACTTAATGCAACATCCTCTAGGCTAGTCGAATTGACAATGCCTTCATCCTTTTCGCTGCTGCTGGGATTGTTTTCATGAACCATGTTCCCCAAATGCTGTAGAAATAATGATAATTAGAGCTAGACAATTAGCAACAATTTTCTCACCTCTACTAAACTGCCTGCTGCCTGTTGTCCGTTGCTGCTGCTGCTGCTCCAATTTTCCTCCAAGCCGAGCAATGTACGCAAGACTTCAATCTGTGAGCGTGTTGAGCTCTGCGGTGTTGAACCAAAGAGTCGATGAACAACCGTTTGCAAAGCTGTGGGCGCCTGATAATTGTTATTGACGCTTGTGCTGCTGGTTATGGGTTGTTGTTCCTCGTTTCCGTTGGTCGTGTTCGGTGTGACGACACCTACTGTGGCATTGGGTGTCGTTGGCGGACGCAGACGAAGTACGCCTGCTGTTGTTGAGGGCTGTTGCTGATGCTGCACTCGTTGCACTGGACGCACAGGAAAGCAATAGCGTTGATGCTGCTCCTGTAGTTGATCTGCAAAGCACACAAAATTGAATATAGAATTGAAATCAGTGCAATGACGCAGCCAAAGCTGGCCAGCTGCCCACGACGCGATCGATACGAAAGACCCTCTCCGTGGGCGTTTATTTTTGTGCGCTGTGTTATATTTAGAATATGAACTAGCGCACATTTTATATGAGCAGTAAAACCTGGCCCCAGGTGCGTACAGATTTTGAATTATATTATGTTCCTGTTCACTGCTTAACTTACCTGTTGGATCGTAACTGTGTTCCGCGGCCAACTGACGCAGTGCCTCGCGTTGCTCCTGTTGTTGGGTGCTGTATTCTGGTTTTGTTGTCGTTGCACGCTCCAGCAGATCCTTGAAGCAACAACAGATGAAGATTACCAATAGAACAAAGATCAAAATCGCGGCAATTTTGCAGCTACTGCTATATATGACTATATGCGAGACTAGAATTTGTAGGTTGTGCGAGTGGTTGGAAAAATTCCCGCTGTGTGCGTCGCGGAGGTCGTCTGTATAACTAAAACGGCGCCACAGACTTTTCGAAAATGTTGGCCAAAAACAATGAGTGTGAAATGTATTTTTAAACGGAAGAGCGCAGCCCAATGGCGAAAAGAGCGCGCTAGAGCGGATGGGCCAGCTAGCAAGGGGCGTCATGGCAACGTAAACGTGCGAAGTATGGTCAATCAATATAAACAAGCTAGCCGGCAGGGCATGCTGCCGGTTTCTTTGCAACACATGAAGAATATTTTGCATTTAGTTCATTTTTGATATGGTGTGAGAACAAAAAATATAGCTGCATGCTGTCCAATTACTTAATTTGAGTAATATATATCAATCAAGCTTAGATTCTCGTATTTACATAAGTGAAAACTTACGTATAGCGTTTTGCAGGTGCCGCGCTGTATTCGTGCCGCGATTTCCTCTTCTCGCTCCCGCTGCTGATGCTCCTGCTGTTGTTTGATTAGGGACGAGTTGCGGGCGCGGCTGGTGCTGGACCTGGTGGTGGACGGCGTTGTGTTTGTGTTTGCCGGCGGTGTTATTGTTGCTGTTGTTACGGTGGTTGCTTGTTTGGGTACTGCTCCGGTACTACGATTTGTATCACATTCGTTTTTCATTATAATCTTTACGGGCGGTGTCGGCGCCATCAGAAAATATATACATATACGACTTCCACAGTTATCAAGTCTAAACTAACACTGACTCTGTAGGCGGCACCTACTACCTACTACATCAAAATATTTCAAGTTAGTTTTAACTACAAAGTTAGCACACTTATCAACTGCCGAAGTTTTACTAATGTGTACTCTTGAGTTTTAAAATTTTAAACCGAGCTTTATAATTATTTTTAACGAGATTCAGAATATTTTTTACAAGCAAACAGCTGCGTCCTGATAGTGATGTGCTATTTAATATCGATAGTTGCGAGCTGCATTAACGATCTCTACATCGATTATTTTAGACGGGCGAAATCGATATTTTGGTAACGAAATATCAGCGCAAAATCTCTTATTTAAAAAACAATTTAAAAACAAAAACAAGTTTGTAAAACCTAATCAATTTCTTAAAATAAAAAAGGAAGGCGATTTTAAGGTGGATTGAGTAAGTGGGAGAGAAATATCGAGAACGAGTTATGTTTATAGCAAATAACTTAAAAAATTTTGCGAATTGGAAAGATAAATCTTAGAACGAGAGAGAGAGAGATAGAGTTAGAGTAAGAGTGAGAGAAAGAAAGAGGGTAAAGCTGTTAACCACTAAATGTTCATTTCGGAACTAACGCAAATAAAACAAATAATTATAATTTGATCAATATTTATTACATATGTATATATAAGTTATTCAGCAAGGAAATAATATTTGAATACGGTATTGTTCTATTTGCCCTGTTTGCGCTGTATAATTTCCTCCTTTAAGGTTTTTATCCGAAGACGTTCCGTCCGCAAACTCTCCTCTTGACCGCGCAAATCACTGGTAAAATCCGTTACCATATTAATCATTGCATTCAGCAGTTCCGCATTGTCCGGAACGGATCCTGATGTGGGCTCTACAGATGTGGCCGTCTCAGAGGACACGGCGCTGCCCCTGGTGCTACTGCTGCTGCTGCTGGATTGTACAGACTGCGCCGTCATAGTTTGCCTACTCTGTTGCACGGTCGAAGATGACGAAGTTTTCGACTCCATGGTGGACATATGCTGCTCTATGAGCTTTGTCGAGTCGGTTATTTGCTGCACACGTTTGAATTGGGCCTTCAAATTCGCAATTTCCGCTAGCTTCTGCTGAAGATAATTGGCGGTTTCTTCTTTGTCCTCGTCGCTTGCATTGTCTTTGTCATCGGTCGTGACTTCTGTTTGGACCGCAGCAGCTCCCTCAGGAGTAGCCGGACACGCTGTCTCAGATCTCGACTCAACTCTGGTTTCAATGCTCTCCGATACCTCTCTGGTAGCCATTCTCAATTGTTGGCGCTGCGCGCTTAAACGTGTTAATTCAGCCTGCAGTTGGCGATGCTCCTCCTGCATTTCATGTAGCTGACGATTGGAGGCCGCCAGAATCTATAAAATATCAATGGGGAAAACCCATATAGTCATACATTTCCCACTACTCAAATTTCACCTGACTTACCTCGCTCAACGCGGCATTATCTTGAGGTTTATTCAGCTCATTGACCATTTTGTCGACCGTTCCTTGAAGAAAAGAAAACTCTCGATGATTATATCGCCCAAATTGTGTTTAGCTAGACATTAAAATGTATGTTCTTTTCAAATACACACAATTGCAATTAGAGCTGCCATGTCTATAAATACAATTTTCTCGTTTCGAACTGACTTTGTGGTAATATTTGTGTCAATCATCTTGACGTTCATGAGATGAAATGAACGGCCCTCAGTTGGAAAACAAAAACAATTATATAAACTTACAGAACGGAATGTACAGGCGCTGCACTACAAATTCAAAACTATGTTCAAATATCTATATATATATATATTTTATTGTATTCTAGAATAATGCGCTGGGAAACGCGCTGCGAGATGCCAATGTTCCTACTAAATGACTGCGTCGAAAATGAAAATATTTTATACGATAATTTAAATACAAACATACATATCTATAATGTGTAGGTTCCCAAATATATATACGCACAGACAGTTCTGAACGGGCGACAGGCGACAAATGTTTCAAAAACGAAATCTTTTAGAAGAAACTACGATATATAGTAAGTTTTAGTACGTATTAAATGCATCAAATTTTCCCAACTGTGCAAAAAGTACCCAGAACTGAGTCATCATATAACGCCGAACTGCTATCGCACAAATTAAAATGTTTTTTAAGTATAAGAGCATAACAGCCAGGTCTCTCAAGGAGATGATGATGATGGTGATAAGAGGTAGCATCTGTTAGTTAAATTGATTTCGAAGAAACAAAGATATCTACCATATAAATTGAGTTGCTGCGGAATGACGACACCAGTCAAGTTGGAAAAGTGTCAAGAAATAGAAGTAGGAGCAACCCAACGCCACCAAACTCTCTAACTAATTTAATTTATTGTTTTTTCTAAATAGTGATATCCTTCAAATTCCTTGGCCCTGTAGCATACTGTCTGTTATTCTTGCAATGTGCATACGTAATAGCTGAGAGTGATCGCACAGAGATCGATCTAGTTGAGGCCCCAGGCCCTGGCGACGATGAAATAATACTCGATGGCACTCTTTATCCGGGCAACATTAGCCTCTGCAAGGATGTTGCCAATAGAGTGTTTCTGCCGTATGTAGGAGACTGCAGAAAGTATTACCTGTGCTGGGGTAAGTAGAAGCTCACCTTTGGCTTAACTTCCGATAGTAATGATCTTCCAGATGGCAAGGCTGTGGAGAAGCAGTGCAATAAAGACTACGAGTTTAATGCCCGAAACCAGAGTTGCGGATATCCAAATAAAGCGGCATGCATGCCCGAATGTGAAGAGTTCAAACTGACCACCTTCTGCTACGATCGCACCTGCACCAAATACGTGCTCTGCTATTTTGGCATACCGGTTCTGAGGGAGTGCCATGATGGATTGCAGTACAATGCGGAAACGGATCGTTGCGATTTCCCTCAATATGTGGACTGTGTGGATAATGAGTGCATGCGACTAAATGACACGACGGAGCTGTTGTTCCTGCCCAGCAAGGCTTCATGCTCCAAATACTTCTTGTGCGCAAAGGGCGTACCCATGAACTACACATGTGCCGAGGGATTGTCTTTTAGCACCAGTTGCAATTGCTGTGATTATCCAGAAAAGTCTGATTGCCAGGTGCGTATCGAAAGAAGGGATTCAACTGAAATACAGATATACATATGTATGTAATACTAGATTACAGCATTGAAGCGCAATATTCAGCCATATTCCCGTGTACCGCTCCGCAGAGCTGATGTCATCTGTCCAAGCCATGGAGTTCACTTCTACGCCCACAAGTCGCGCCGTGATGCCTACTACTACTGCTTAAAAGGACATGGTGTTACCTTGGATTGCACGCCGGGTCTGTGGTACGATGCAAGTGTACAGGAATGTCGTGAGCCCAAATTTATTGGCCACTAAGCGAAAGGAAAAACAAAACTTCGCTTGAATATAACAGCAGTTGAATTAATAAATACGAATATTAATTGGAAAGTCTCCGTTTAAATACAGGCATGTCTGCAAACCTGAAAAAACAAAATTTGTCAGCGGTACACGGTTCAAATCTACTTCTTGCCTTTGGCTAAATTCGTCAACTTTGCTTAGCACCCAAGTTTTGGTTCAAATCTCGGTTTTTCGTATATTTCTGAAAAGTTTGAAAAAACATTTTAATTTGTAGCTTACAATTGCCCGTTGTACTGAAAGTATTGCAAATTTTGTTAATATTTTGATATAGATGCGGGCTACATTTGATATCTATCCAAACTTGGCATCTAACATATCTAGTTGGATGAAAAGCTGGATCTTTAGTTATTTTTGACTCTACGGACAGATTATCAAAATCTTTCTTATTTCAAGCCACATCATTCTAGAAATATTAATATTAATTAATAATATAAATATCATGATTCTAACCGGTTTGGCTCAAATCGGTTAAAACCCGTTAACATAACCGTTTGCTCCTAGTAAAGATCGCATTCTTCGCATTAAATTTTCCCTGGCTACTTTTGGCCTATCGTTTCGCCTATGCGTTAGCAATATTAAATGAATATTCGTTCTATTGTTTTTTGCCGCCTGTTTGGGCCAGAGAGCAGCGTTTCCTGAACAGCTAAAATTAGCCAGTGAGAGGCAGATCTAGGCATTTGCAATGAGCGTCTATAAACAAAATGCAAACAAATTGGATGAACTTTTCAAATTTATTTCGCTGACATCCCCTAGGCTTTCACAAATTGCGGCTCGCGGCATTCCTCTAGCTTGGCATCGTAGACCAGACCCGGGGTGCAGTCCAGGGTGACACCACGACCATTCGAACAGTAGTAATAGGCCTCCTTGCGTGTCTTGTGGGCAAAGAAGTGGGAACCTTCAGCCGGGCAAGTGATGTCGGCCTTACGTGGTGGTACCCGTGCAAATGGCTGAATATTGCGCTGTAGAGATTCCACCTGGAAGCAGAAAGGTCATGCGCTTGACTCAGCTAGAAAACTAGGAAAATAAGTATTAAGACATACCGTGCAATTGGCGCGGGAGGGGAAATCACAACAATTGCATTGGGTATTAAATTGCAGACCATTGGCACAGCTTTGATTAGCTGGGAGACCATCCACGCATATGTAGTACTTGTCGCACTGGGACTTGCTGGCAATGTACACAATGCTGTCGGGATTGTTCTGGCGCACGCAAAGATTATCCACACAGTCCACATATTGGGGAAAATCGCAGCGATCCGTCTCCGCATTGTACTGAAGGCCGTCGGCGCACTCACGCAGCACCGGCTCGCCGCTGAAGCAGAGCACGTACTTGGTGCAGGTGCGATCATAGCAGAAGGAGCTCACACCCTGGGCGGGGCAGTTGGGCAGGCAACGCACCTCGGACACGTCCACACACTGCTGATCGCGGGCATCGAAGTAGTAGTTGGCGCTACAGGAGCGAGGCACAGCCTTGCCAGCTGACCAAGGGTTGGGGTTGGGGTTGGGCTTGGGGTTACAAATTTGGCACTCATTCAATCTCCGTGCACTTACCAACGCACAGGTAGTAGTCGCTGCAGTTGCCGATCGCTGGCAGGAACAGATTGTCGACCACATTGGAGCAAATGTTAACTTCCGCCAGTCCACCGTCAATGAGCAATGCCAGGGACAGCACCATCAGCAGTTGGTTGGTTGTTATCACTGGGACAGCAGAGCACAGAGTTAATATCCTGGAGCTTAGACTTTGATATTGGCTGGCTGTACTCACTGTTGTAGGGTTTTTCTGTCTATCCGCCTCTATTCGCAACTGTGGGCACAAGGTGAAGGAGACCTTCCTTATATAGGCAACATCTTCTTTTAATTTTTGGCAATCAATTGCAGATACGATTATTTTCTTGCTCATCGGCGAAAGCAAACTTATCAGAAAGGAAACATGCTTGTAATTTGCTGACAGACCCGGTGCAAGCATTCAAATTGGAAAGATAAACGCAATATCACAACGACATGCTATGCTATACAATAATATTAAAAGGAAACTCTTAACTTATCGCCCTCATAAAGTCTCAATAACATGCGCCCGCCCGCCTTATCAACATCTTTTATAATGAGCATGTGTAAAATAAATTTACAGCATGTCCTCTAGGCATTACACAACAAAACCAATACAAACAAACATACTTGTAATCGCTTCAAAGAATCCCAATTTCTCAAATTTCTCCAAAGTCGATATATAATGCTGTGTGTCCTGATTGTCTGAATGATATTTATTGATGATCATCTTTGAATAGTTGTGTGATATCGAAAACTTTCACAGTTTTTATGCGATCCGTTTTAAGCGAATCGGGATCTATATCAAAATCCATTGAAGGCATATTCGGAAATTTTCGTAAAATTCACCCCCCTGGGTGAAAAATGAATGAAAACTTGATGTTTAAACTTAAACTAAAAATTGTCAATGCGAATTTCGTTCTTTAAAGTCGACGAACAGTTCTCAAGTTAACAGCTGATCAGAAATTTGCATGCTTTTGGGCTCGTTTTTCAACACAACGTCTGAGACAAAATTAGATAATTGATATTTCAGTATCAATTGCGAAATTAAAATGTAGTTTTCCTTTGGTAGTCTCGATACGCGTGCCGAAATGTGATAACATTGCTTTCCAAAAACTCATTAATTTAACTTAAAAATAGAAAGGAAAAAAAAGATATCAAAAAAGATAGTTACCATATAAATTCGATCTTCCATGAGAGCTTCCCACACTTGTTTTCTGTAACTGGAGCTGTCAAGGAGTGCGTTAACTGTGTTTTTCCCCTTGTACCAAAATGAGCTAATCCTTTCGTCTAATTATATATTAACAGTGAAGTTGTTGCTGCTCTATGGATTTGCCCTCGGCGGCTTGTTCCAATGTTCTTTGGCAAGAGTTCATTCGAAGCTTCTTTTGAATTCAGATCTAATTGTTGCACCTGATCCGGAAGACGATGTAGTGAATGATGATGGAACTGTCCACCCATTAGATGAAAACGGCATAAATCTGAGCGAAGGTATGGCAGATTCATTGCTGCCCTATGTAGGCAACTGTTCCAGCTATATAATCTGCGAAGGTATGGGGGAACTTCTTACTGAGAGAATAGCTTTTTAATTTTGTGGGCATCCAAACTTTCTTAGGTGGTAATATATCTTCTTACGGAAACTGTTATGAAGATGGAGCTTTTGAACAAGTTTGCGCTGATGATGCCACAGGTTGTGAGGTCCTTTTTGATTACAAATTCCAGGCTTGCGTAGGCAGCCTCGAAAATGATGTAAAGTGTCTGCCCGAATGTGAAGAGTTCAATCTGACCAGCTTCTGCTACGATCGCACCTGCACCAAATACGTGCTATGCTATTATGGAATACCGGTCCTGAGAGAGTGCCACGACGGGTTACAGTACAATGCGGAAACGGATCGCTGTGATTTTCCCGAATATGTGGACTGTGTGGATAACGACTGCCCTGATCAAATGTCAATCTCAAATATTGTATATCTGCCCAGTAAGGCGCAGTGCTCCAAGTATTTCATCTGTTCCGATGGCATGGCTTGGCCACAGGAGTGTGCCAGTGGCTTGGTCTTTAATCCCGAATGCAATTGCTGTGATTATGCCAGCAAAGTTGAGTGCCAAGTGAGTTAATTGCACGGATATGGTATGAGTCCCAGTCTGACTCTTTTACTGCCATTGCAGAAAACGGCCCAGCAGCGCAATATCCAGCCCTATTCCCGATCACCGCCTCGCCGTGCTGATATCACCTGTCCTAGCCAAGGTATCCACTTCTATGCCCACAAGTCGCGCCGCGATGCCTACTACTATTGCGTTGAGGGTCATGGGGTTACCCTGGACTGTACTCCTGGCTTGTTGTACGATTCCAAGATACACGAATGCCGTGAGCCTAAATACATTGCGGTCTAAATCATAGCTTATCAGAGCGTATACGATTTTCAAACATTTGGTATTAAATATATATGTATATATATGCTGTTATTGCAGGTCATTATTTAGAATGAGAATAAGGTAAGGTAATTTTATTTGTAACTATTATTTTTTGTAAATTCGTTTATTAGCATTACGCTCAGACAGTGGGCCTCAGGAATAATTTTTGCAAAAGCTTTTTCTATCACATTCTTGAACCACTCGCAATGCAAGCTCTCTCTCTCTCTCTCGCTCTCGCTCGCTCTCAGTGCGCATGTGTCGTACAGCTGCCGCGTGTTTTGAGAGCCGATTGAGACCCCCTTTATGCACTGGCCACCCACTCATCGCACTCACACATACAGTCCCACTCCCACACGCACAAACACATGCATACATACACACACACATATACGCCTCGTAACCAATACCGAAAGCAAAAACAAATGTTGGCAGTCTCTGAATTTGCTTTGCCAATACACGAACACACACTCACACACACACACACACACACACACACACACACGACCACATCTACACGCAGCAACACACACATTGAAAGCAGAAATAATCTTGAATCTGAACTCATGAAAAGTGAAAATGTTTCGCTAGCTGCATTCAGAAATTCAGTTTGCGTTGTCAGTTGGCTGCGGGTCCTTGCGCAGGAGGCAGCAGATTGGCAGACACGTAAAATGAGTGTTTAAAAGCGCGCAGTGTTTAGAATATAATCATAATAATACTCGATCTATGCATTCTCTGTACAATATTTCAATCAATGTTTCGCTGCATTTGACAATGTTTTGAGGTTTGCTGTGAAACGGTCGCGTGCTTCATTCAAGGCTGGCAAAAGGATACGTTTTTTTGCCATTTGTTTTATGTGCTGTGTGTATCGTGCCAGGTCAGTTGAGCGTTCAAGGACTTTTTCGTGCAACAACAATAACAATAACAACAAGCAATGTGCTTCAAATGTGCAAAGAATTCTAAAGAAAATGCTTAGCTCTTAAGGAAAGACCAAAAAATATAAAAATAAATAAACGCAGGTAAAAAGTGTTAACAAATGCCATCCAAATTGGCATGCACTTGAAAACCCAACTACACACCCACACATACACACAGATACGGACACCTATGTTAACACACCAACGCATCCGAATTGCATTGCAATTACTCACATTGCTTATACGAAGTGTATGCCAGCAGCAGAGCAATATGTGTCGTTTTGATAGACAGACGGACAGGCATATAGTAGTGGGAACTTTAGCTTTAACTGGGACTGATTTTCGCATCTTGTTTTTTGCTTTTCAAAGTCAACAATAAATTCACTTCCCGCCAAGCTAAAAAGGAAAGTGCTACAACAGCAACAGCGAAGCCCACAAAGGTTAACAGAAAAAAAAAAACCATCACATAAAAAAGGCAAAAAGGTCCAGTGCTCAAAGCGAGAGTGAAAGGCTGGTATGTACTGCGGGGACTCGTTATCCTTGTGTGCGGTGCGGGTCGCGTAGTTTCCTGTTTTAAATTCTTGCTTTTGTTTCGCATATTTTACATAGCATCACATCTGTTCAAGCACCACTGACAAGGAACTCTTTTTACGAAACCTGACGGGGATTGCAAATGTCTAGACAAAGGCTTGTTTGTAAACTTTATAACAAATTCTTACCCGCATATTAAAAGTGCAATGTTATGCTCTTGTAAGAAAAACTTCTCATAGATGAGATTATAAATGGTATGACGGAGAGATGGAAATAAATATTATTTCACATGATTTTGTTGACAAAACCTTTGTCTAAAATTAAATTTGTATACAAAATCAGCTAAAACATTTAACAGTTCTCTATACATTTATTTATTTCTATTTCCTGCCTTTCAATAGTTAATTTTCATTCATTCATTAATGAATATTACACGTTATTAAATTTAAATAAATGAAGTTACATTTACCTGTGATTAAAAAGAAAATTTTAAAAAAAAATTGTATCATGTTTCCGCCCGGGATCGAACCGGGGGCCTTCTGCGTGTTAGGCAGATGTGATAACCGCTACACCACGGAAACAGTTGAAGACTAAGGAGATTGAGTTCGCTTTTGTGTTAGCTGCATGCGCGCGGGATGAGCAATTTCAGCCGGCTCGACAAACAAGTTCGTGCAGACATCAGAAAGCGAAAGGGAAAAAGACGGAAATCAAAAATATACAACACAAATAACGAAGACAAAAGATAATGTTTTATATATTGTATATATGCAGGCAAGTTTAAAGCTCAAGAGGATTGATAATGTACGCAGAGTAAAAATACAAGTTTGTGTAAAGCTTTTATTATCAAAAACTTGTATTTGTATTTTCAAGACTCTGCCTATGTTGATTTAATGACTTCAAATTGAATAACTTGTGACAGTTGTGATATAAAAGATATCATTTCAATTGGTTTTAGAATAATTGTTAGACATAATCGCAAATGATTAAGATAGGCACGTTCACAGTTTATTAACTGACTATTGTTTGATTAGTTACTACAAATTCATTCATAGTAAAAAGGTATATTGCTTATTTTTATATTACTTAACAAATCAGCATTTTTAATTTACATATCTAAAAAAAGAATTGTATCTGTTTCCGCCCGGGATCGAACCGGGGGCCTTCTGCGTGTTAGGCAGATGTGATAACCGCTACACCACGGAAACAGTTGAAACTATGCCGGCAAAATAGTCAGTTTGAAGCAGTCACATTTCCAAAAACTAATTCAATAAAAGAAATCAAATTGAATGTGGCTATTTTAAAGGCATTTTGGAATGCGACCAAATGATTCGCTAATTTTATTTTGTTATTTTATTGTGGCTTAACACAGCGAGGAGCTGCCAAAAAGCTGATAATAGAATAATGGGCCCGTTGAGTGAACAATTTATGTATACACACGTACATATGCACACATACGTGCTTCCCATTCATAGGGAAGACAACATGCTACGTAACAAATGTATAATTGTGTTCAAATTGTATTAGTTTATTCTCACACTCCGGAATTTTGGAACATGAAAACTGATTGAGTTCCTTAGAGGTCACAATAATGCGCATATATATTTGTATGATAAAATCTAAAAGCTTGCACAAACAATTTGTTTCTTGAACGCTATTCAAGGAAAGGAAAACAAAGAATGAAAAGTAGTGCGAGATGAAACTTGAACCCCTTACTGGGGTCAATCCTTAAGTAGTTTGTCTAAACAACAATAGCTTTTTATATCAATGCTAGAATTGCCTTTTAAATAGCTGAAATACAATCACTTGCTGTATCCAAGCAACGTCAGTTCCCATTAATATTGGTGTTTTTTGCATTGTCCCAAAAATTCCGAAGAACACTTGACCACTTAAGGTAAACGAAGCTGCTAGCTTAAACTCTTTTGAAAGCAAAACTAAACTGTGACAAAAAGGAAAAGCTAAGAAGGGGTTCAGGTCAGGAGAAACACGAATCAAGCGCACACAATTCATTGAACCTTGGAGCACAGAGGCAAGCATCATCTCAGGCATTCTGCAGGACAACTAAGGATGCGGGGGATTGGAACGGACGGAGCAATTGGCTGAAATGAACCTATCAAACGGTTGTCAAAATGTCTCTTTTAAATACGAGTATGTTTATTTTATTACTTGTGCTTGTGCTTGAGTATTTATTTATTTGCGAGTGCGTTCAGCTCTGAGTGCGTTGTGTAACTTTTCTCGAAGAAGAAGTCGTTGACAAGGCAAAGCATTGAACTTTGAACTTTGACAGGAGCGCTCGGACTCGTTGCGGACTTGGACTAAAAGCAGACAGGGGGTTCCAAAAATTAAACAAGCATCATTTTGAATGCGAGGCTTTCAAGCATGTTTTACTTTGCTTGTAATTTATTGCTAGAAATTATTTTTTCTGGTCATTTCTCTTTTTATGTGATATTTGGGTGTCATTGTTGATTGGCTAACACCGCAACGACCGCGGTCCAGACCAACCACGACCAGTGGGAACAGTTCAATGAACAGCCAAGCGACTTAAGCGGCAACGCAAATGTAAACATAGTCCATATACATAGCGAACAGTGGGGCAACTGACACGAGAAAAGCCATTTAAATATAGAACCTGCATTTTTCTATTCAAGTAATAGATTAAAACAATTATAATTTCAAATTTATTAATTTTTATTTGATTTATGTACAACTGTATAAAGAACGCACATCTTGAAAACTGCTTAACAATCGTATATAATGCAACAACTTATTACAGTAATAATAGTAAAAAAATATATCATCTAAAATTATTGCAAGTTCATAAATATTAACATTACGAAACCCTGCTTATAATTCTGTAAAATTACCTAAATTTGCAAAAAATTAAATTCATTCTGTTTCCGCCCGGGATCGAACCGGGGGCCTTCTGCGTGTTAGGCAGATGTGATAACCGCTACACCACGGAAACAGTTGACAATCTACTCGCAAAAAAGCTTATTTGACAAACAAGTTAAGCAACTAGTCATATTAAAGAAATAGCTACATTAAATTTATTTTTAACTTATCAGTTTTAATTGCGCATAAGATAATCGAAGTTCATCCAAGTCCACTGTGCAATTCCCCGAACGTGTCCTTTCTAACACCGCCACACCTTGTGTGACTGCAACATTGGTCTGCGGCAGTCACCTCCGCCCCCCTCCTGCACCCGGCGTATGAATGTCTGCTTTCATTTTTGGCGCGCTTAGCTTTTGTGTTAAGTTTGTTGAGCTTGCCAGTTCTTCGTGGCTGTTTTGGCTGCTGCCAATGACACGGGAAGTGAAAGCACATTCCCAAAATGTTGCCCCTGATGCTGTTGCTGTTGCTGCTATTATCATTTGGGGGGTTATTTGATCAGGCAGCAGCCTTTGTTTAGCGCTTACCTATGCAGTTCTTGCGATGGGGCAGCCGTTCGGGGCTGTACGGCTTCTGTCCTTTTTTTGTGGGGTAGTTGAACTTGAAATCACGCACAAAGAGGAAACAGCAGACAGACTTGGAGTGCAGCATAATAAAAAGCAATGCGCACGTTTCCTGTTTCGCTATGTGTGTGTGTTGTGTGTTGTGTGTGTGGTTCTGAGTGAGAGTGTCTCTCAGTGTGTGAGAGAGATTCCTTCTTCCGTCTAGGCAAGCACAGTTGGCGCTTGTGCCTCGACACAAAGCCAAATGACTCATGCACTTTGTCTGGCTCCAGTGGCGAATGTCCCAAACTCCCAGCATCAACTTCAAATAAGTTTTGCGTCTATCTGTTAACATAAGTTTTTACTTTGCAGTCGTCAAGTGTGCGTCGGGACATGCATTTCTGGATTGACAAACGCTCGCAGCAATGCGGTTTTGGGCGCTCACGTGTCGCCGCCTCCTTGTCGCATGCGGGCGGCGGACTCAGCTATGGACATCCGCCGCGGCGTAGCAAGTCAAGCAGCAACAGCAACAGCGCCAACAACATGGCTGCTGGCAGCAGCGGCACCAGTGGCAGCCACAACCAAGCGCTGGCCTCGGTGCATCGGACGCTAGCGCCTTATGGAGGCGACTGCCAGACGGGCGCAGGCACCAGTCGCCAGTCGTCGCATTACTCTAGCAGCAATAATAATTCACATGCCAGCAGTCAGCAGCATCACCAGCATCATCAGCCGCTGTTGCATCACAGCAGCAACAACAACAACAGCAATGCTGCCATGACAACAACAAATGCCAGCAACAACAACAATGCCAATGTAACCGCCTCGTCGGCAGCGGTGCTAACAGGCAGCGGAACTATTGTTCCGCTGGTCGCACACGGCTCACATTATCATCAGCACAGCACGCGCTATCAGCCCAGGCCACAGCAACAGTTGCAGCAGCAGCAGCAGCTGCAGCAGCAGCAGCATCACTATAGCTACAGCTATCATCATCCGCAATTTGGCAACATGGCTGTGCCTGTGCGGCAATACGAACAGCAACAGCACCAACAACATCACCAACAACAGCAGCAACAACATCACCAACAACATCAGCAACAACTTCAGCAACATTCGGGCGTCTATGCGTAAGTGAATAACCTTTCTTTTATGCAACATTTGCGATTTTATTTCAAAAAGAATCTCTGGCCAACTTCGTAGGGACGATGCTTATAGCGCCTATCATCATCATAATCACCACAGCAGCAGCATCAACAGCTGCAACAGCACCAACAACAGTCGATATGCAACACCTCGGCGGCACAACTCCAGCAGCAACATGCGACACGCAACAGCTGTGGCAACAGCTACTGCAACAGCCTCAGTGTCTGCTACGGCCACGCCTATACCGCCCACCCAAACACAAGCGACGGCACAAGGCAACCAGCTGCAGCAACAGCATCATGCCATGTTGCAACATGCCGATTCCCAGATGCTGCCGAGTCATTTGAAGTGCGGGATGTGCGCCTCGCTGGTGCTGGCGTCGGTTTTTGTGGCGGGCGCAAAGTTCTACTTTGATCACCAGGGCACCGGACTGGAGGTGCTCATTTTTTGTGCTTTCTCGGCTACTTTCTTTTTGGCTGCCTGCATGGTGTCCCTGTGCCGCATACCCAAGGGATTGCTACCCAGTCGCAGCGACGGGCGCGCCGTTTGTCACAGTCGGGGCGTGAATGCTGGCGGTAATGCCAGCAGCTGCATGCTGGAGCTGAATGATGTCAGGTATTTGGATGGGCGACAGGTGGAGGTGAGCGCGGAAACGGCGGCCGCAGCTGCCGCTGGCCCGCCGCCATATCATATAGCAATATTGTTGCCGGAACAGACGCCGACGGTGCTGGGAAAACAGGTGCCACTGGATGAGTCGCCGCCGCCGTCCTATGATAAGATACTCGTGTAGGTTTGGCTTGGGTTAGCGCTTTGGTTTTATTTAGGAATTGAGCATCAATTTCAGTTAGGAACCAACTATAAACCCAATCCGACATACAAAATACTTTTGCTCAATATTTTTCTAACGATATCAAAATTTATATAAACATATACACAGCAAAAATGACATTTGCAAATAGATATATACATATATACACATACATATACATATAACTATAAATATAAAGTAAAGTATATTTTTAAGCTCCAATTAATATTTTTACACTTTGAACTTTCTAATCCAAAACACAAGCCCAAAATCCAGTCTCTCTACTTACTATGTATCATTTTTGTTCTGTGATATGCTCAAAAGAAAATCATACGAAATAAACCAAATAGAGACAAAGCAAAGCGAAATAAGTAAACCAGTATATAGAAAATAGTTGCCATTTAGTACTTTATGAAAATGTGAACCACAAAACTAAATACACATCAAGCAGCCAAACAGTATTATTAGTCAGTAGTCAACTTAAGCAACAACTACTCATATGCAACGTAAATAAATAATGTCAAGGTGCAATATAATACAAATAAATAAAGTACGAATTAATTTCAACGCTTTGACTTAAATGCTTAACGGCTGCTTCATGTATAATATCGATAATAAATTGTACTTAACCATTTAATATATATCGCATATGGTGACACTGTCAGCATATGTTTCGATGTAGCTATCGATACTTATCATAGAGCTGCCAACTCAATGCGATAGATAATTTTTAACTATCGCTTTTGCTAGTTGCCTGGTATTTGTTTATTTACTTGTTTATCCTTAAATATTACCGAAAATGACTCGACATGCACGCAATTGCACCGCCGGAGCTGTTTATACATACAACGAGAAGAAACGCGATGCAGCCGAATCTGGATATGGGACAAATGCCAAGCGCCTTGGCAAGGATTCAGTAAAATCATTCGATTGCTGCTCGTTGACATTGCAGCCGTGCAGGAATCCGGTGGTAACCAAAGATGGTTACCTTTTCGACAAGGAGGCCATTCTGCAGTACATTGTCACCAAAAAGAATGAATACAGCCGCAGGCTAAAGGAATACGAGCGCCTGCGTCGCGTCGAGCAAAACGAATTGGCTCAGGAGGCAACTGATAGACAACTTGAGCGCATGGAGCAATTTGTTAATGCCGGAAAGCCAACCACAACTCCTTCCCATAAGCTAAACGCCACTGTTGCAAAGACCACACAGCTGGATGCCAGGCCGAGCACATCAGCAGCAGCAGCAACGGGTTCTAGATCCATCAGCTCCATTTCTAACATGGCCAACGGCCACGAGAAGAAGCTGCCTAGTTTTTGGTTACCCTCAGAGTGTCCCAATGCAGGCGCTGCCCGGGCTCAGAAGCCCGACGCTACTATTTATTGTCCGGTCTCGCAGCAGCCGCTAAGGGTCAAAGATCTAATCGATGTTAAGTTTACGCTGCTCAAAGATGGGGACAACAAACGTTCGCTTATTGCCAAGGAGGCACGCTACATGTGCCCCATCACACACGATGTTCTTAGCAATGCGGTGGCATGTGCCGTGCTGCGCCCCACGTAAGTAATAATCGAGGTAATATTATTTAAAATGCTTTTAATTTACGTATATTTTCAGTGGCGATGTGGTCACCATGGAATGCGTTGAAAAGCTCATTCGCAAGGACATGATACATCCCCTTACCGATCGCAAACTCAAGGATAAGGACATAATTCCACTGCAGCGTGTTAGTACAGAACTTGACAATTTAACGGAGTTCGTTTTTCTATACAATCGCTTTTTATAACAACAGGGCGGTACCGGCTATTCTACCACCAATGACAATCTGGAAGGCAAGGAAAAGAGGCCCATGCTGCAAGTTTAGATTGACTATGAATTCAAATGATGTTAAGTCCAGCTCTAACAGTTACGAAAATACCATTAGTTGTGCTTTTTAAATGAACCTCTGCACTATAGAGTCCGCCCACAGAAAACCCTTGACTTCCCTCTCCTAGATAATCAGGCATCACAATGGGCCTCCTTTTTCGAGTGGTCGTAGAGCTGAGCATATACTTAAATAATACACTGTAATTGTTTGTTCAACATAATTTTGAAATTTAGCAGAAGATTTTTTGAATAATAGTAGTTTCTAAGTTGTATTGACCTTGTTTGCTACCTTGACACAATTACCCAACAAAATAATAGATAAGTCTTGACAAAATAATGGTACACGTGTTCGTGATAACAATGCTGATAAATGATTCATAATTACCTTGAAAATTGCCATAAAAAGCCGATAAAATGTAAAAATTTGCAACAAACCAAAGTTAGCAACCATTCCAACAATACAAGATGTGCCAGCTGAAAGAACACACCAAGTTGATCTGTTTACTGTTCCTGGCAGTAGGACTTCCCTCCAGTCATGCGGATGTGTTTCCGCAGTGTACCAATGTGGATGTGGATACCTTTGTCATGGCCATAGACGATTGCGCCAGCTACATATATTGCAATGGCGAGAACTCCTTTAGGGACAGCTGCCCGAACCAAACGTATTTCGATGCAAAGGCACAGGAATGCGCCTTCGACGATGCTGGTGTTTGCTTGGAAGTTATGGATACATCAACCGCAGCTGCGATGCCTAGTGAACATAATGATGAATTGCAGACTGCCAGCACAGCGACCAGCACTGGGCCTGCAGCTACAGAGGACACGACTGCTCCAGCAGGCAGTAGGCCACATTGCGATGCCAGCGGCGATGGATATCATCCGCATGCGGAGCGCTGCGAGTATTATTATAGCTGCATCGGCGGCTATTTGACCATAGTGCGTTGTCCCTACAACTATGGCTGGGATTATGCGCAGCAGCAGTGCAAGCCCTTGTCAGAGGCGCAATGTTTTAGCTTATAAGCAATTCTCGCAAAACCCTAGATTAATAATAGTTTTTTGGGTTTACCCAAATTCGCAAGGCGAGCGCTCGAGATGACAATAATAAATAAGTATTTCTGGCATTTTAATGAATTGAAAAAGTGCAGCCTCTGCTGGGGGAGGGGATTTGGCCCAGCAGCGCCTCCAATTCGCCTCCATTTGTATGTGTCAGGCGTTGTCAACATAATTCAACAGCAGCAGCAGGTACCAAAATTTATTTTTGTAAATATTTGTCGGCTGCAGCTTCCACATTTTTATTGCAAATTAATAATGCACACGAATTGTGAGATTTTCGTACTCGGATTTGTGTGCGCGCGCGTGTGTGTGTGTGTGTGTGTGTATGTCAATTGTGTCTCGAGTAGCAGATGGACTACAACTTGATGCTCATTATGTGCATTATGAATTAACAAATGTTTTGATTAACTAAATTTTGTTGCAGCCAATTAATTAAACAACAAATTTGCGAGTACAAAACTGCAACAATTTCTCTTCGCTGCTCGCTTTGCTCATTAATTAGAACATGGAACCAACGAAGACGACGACGACGATGACGATGATGCTGCTGTTGTTGATGAGATTGAGATCGTTAGGAGCTGAGCAAAGACATCCACATCCACAGCGAAGACAACGACGACGACGACGAGCGAGAAATCAAATCAACAAAACAAATGGCAACAGCGACAACACAACAACAACAAGAAAAACAACAACAACAACAACAGCAGCAGCAGCATCGAAAGGCGCACAGAAAAAATGTCAAGAGATGGACATTCGAAAAATAGAAAATCTCCAACTAAAACCGAAAGAATTGAAACATTTTCGGATATTTTCATTTCAGATGCGAGCAGCAAACGGTTAACAAAGGTGCGCGCTTAGCTGAAGAAAGAAAATGCACGCCATGAAAAACTAATCGAAATCGTTGCGCGAAAAACCATGAAAATTCACACGATACGAAAATTACAAAAAAATAAAATAATAAAAATGGAAATATTTAAGATATGCGCATATAAATGAAAACTAAAACAAAATAGTGTTTTGTGGAGAAATTTTTATTAAAAATAATAATACTAGGTGTACAAAATAATATTTAATTAAAAGCTTAAATAAACAAAAATTCCTAAAAAAATGTGTCAAAATAATTTGGAAAAAAGTGACACAAAAAAAAAATAAAAAAAATAAAAATTTGATTAGGCGCGTGGCAAGCAACAATATAAAAATATATGTATATTCAAGATCGGCATGCCGAATATTAAATGCCCTTGCATACATTCGTATATTCGATTTGCGAGATAATAAATATATAACTTAAATGTAAATATATATAATAAATATATAATAATGGCAGCTGTACGATATACTAGTTCGATCCGGCCGAAGCTGTAGCACATATGCATAATATGTTGTAAAATAAGGGATCTATGCGAAGTTTCATGCAGTTAGCTTTAAATTGTCTGGGAATGGATTGCGGGGAAACAGAAAAAGGAACCGATAGTAAGACTATATAGATTATACTACTGATGCTTATAAGGAATACATATCTATGGGGATATCACCTTCTATGTCTATGCTACACACTTTATGGCAAAGCCATACTACCTTCCGCAAGGGTATATACAAAGAGCATAAAGCTCACATAAATAAGAAATATAGGGAAAATAACAAACTCTATAAAAATGTTGCCGAAGACCGTATGCATGCATGTTCTTAAGCTGAATAATAAGCAGAAAAGTAAACATTAAAATATCGTGAGATATAGAGTGTTATCCACATATAAAGGCAGAGTTTTGATTCAAATAAAAGACAAATATACCCTCGTGCTTTTTAAAACCTAGCTCCAAAACAGAACAAAACAATGAACAATGAAATCCTCAGTTGACTTTTTTTACTCTGAAATATATAAAATACAAACAGTCAACCTCGCCTGGATCTGAGCTCGACTCAATTGGACAAAGAGTTTCTAATGCAAAGAAGACAAAATTGATTATCTAATAAAACTGTGAAACATATTTGAACCATAAAACCTAAACAAAGTGTGTGTGTGTATAAGAAACTAGCCAAATAATAGCTGGGCTATAAAACAATAAAATACATGTATATACAAAAACATAATTTAGTTTAGTTTCTACATTTTCAAATGGAGGAGGGTTAAGCGAATTAATTACTAATTTGAATAAAAACGACATTAAACACAATAAAAAAAATTCAACACGATTTACCTCCATTAAATGGAGAGACACAAAAAGAAAGCAGCCGACAATCAAAAAGACTTTGAACACGATATAAATATTACTAGTACATATAAAAAAAACAAATAATGTTCTAAAGAAACTAAGAACAGGAAATCATAAAATTGCCTCGTGTGAATGGTTGACAAATTAAATTCCAGCCGAAAGCCCCGTCCCGTCCCATAACATCAATTGGGCCTAGGCCTATAATTAGATTTTGCCAGGGCAGTCGAAAAAGCTGGACTACAAAACCGCAAAAAACCAAACTATTCGAAAACATAAAAAATATTTAACAACAACAAAATTAAGTGGACAGAAGTTTGAGTGTGTGCCGTGCAAATAAAAGTTGAGAATTAACTAAACAAAAAATCCTTTTGGTGTTTATGGAATGGCAACGCGGCGTATGCGCGATTATGTGTAAAATATTACGCATCGGCGCGCGTGCTTGGTAGCGCAATGGATTGAGGGGGGGGGGAATTGAAGGGAGCTGCTGATGATGAAATCACTTGACAAAGACAGCACTTGGACAACAAATCAAAATAGACAGGCTGGCGAGAGCGTTTAGCACAGTTCTTGTGGCGGCTATTTAAAAATACATAAGCAACAGAAACTAATTTCGGAATATATCAAGTAAAAACTGAGCAAAAATACCAAAGAGTTACGGAAAAGACACTTTTTCTGTGTGAACGAGCGCCAAAAAGGCCATATCCCAGGCCAGAGCGTCCTTCTATCCCCCCCAACCACAAACCTCAACCCCCTTCTGGTATTCTTTTGCCTTCGTCGCTCAATAGAAAAATGCTTAGATGCGATTTTCACTCGCTGTGCACATAATGGAATGAAGAAAATTCCGTCTGTCGACAACAACAGCAACAACAACAACAACAAGAACTAATCGCATGCTGGGCACCAAGCGGCTAGCAAAGATGTCGTAGTTGTCACTTTCGGGGCCTCCAATGAGTTGCAGTTTGCGATTCTCACACACAGTTTCTATTATGCATGTCCGATGCAAACACAAAAATAGCCCTCGGAAAAAAGTAGTGGGTTAGCCACAACCACAACCCACTTTCCACCACCCAAAATGCTAAGTACTATTTCATGGCATCTAGTATTGCCGCAATGGCTAAACAATGGAAATTGGCAGATTTATAGCACAGCCCAGAAACCCACAGATACAGACAGAGATAGACATATAGCCAGGCCAGACCCCGTCACGTAAGAGACCAGAGACCAGCCAAAAACAACTCAAAGTCCTCTAGCCGGGAGCACCCGACCAGAAGATACCCTACACCCAGTCTGATCAACAAAATGTATGTATTTACCAGAAATCAGAAATCAGGTTTAAAAAGAATGGAAATAATCTCTGTGTAGAACGATTTTGGAATTTTGGGAAAACTGAATATATCAAATATATTAAAATTCCAAATACAATCTATTTAGCGCCTAAAGTCGCTCCCCCCAAACAGATGAAAGAATGGACAGGGGGATGGAAGCACCTGGCTAGATCGAGGCTCAAAGAAGCCTCATCCATGTTACATGTATATGCACATCCTCAATATTCACCTTTTGCCCCAGAACAGGGTATGCAAATCACAACAACAAGATTAGCAAATTAATTTTATTTAAATAAATTAAATTTAATTGCCAGCCAAAGCACATGCTAAGCCCCTGCGCACCTAACACCATCTCACACCATGTGTGTGTGTGCTCTGTTGTTTTCTTCTTCCTTTCAGCATTTCTATTGTAATTTAGTTTTGTCAACTGGGTGTCTGGCTATATACACAAAATAGCCCAGGCATATACAAGCCAAAGAGAAGCTACCTTGGAATGCATGCGAGCAGGCAAGGCAAGCAGACAGAATACAGCTGGCAGTTAATATTTCAAATGAAATTGGGCAAATATCAATTAAAACAATTATCTCTGTCAACGAATTATGTTAATTAAATTCACAATTTTACTAAATCGCTGGAATAGCATTGAATTTTGGACGAATTACTAAACATCATTTAATATTGGAATAATTTGCTCCTTAGCTGACAACTATTCTTTTTCTTGTACAACTTGTAAAGCTACAAATTTACACTTTTCGATATGCTATTCCCTTAAATCTTCTTAATACCCTCACGGGCAGGCACACACGCAACGCTCGCAGACTTTACTATGTCACAGCTAAAACGCACACACAGCTTCAACTACATCACAGCTATTCATATCGTGAAGCAGCAGCAGAGCATACCGTGGCGTATGAGTAATATGCCAAATGCTACGACATAATACGTATACGCCGCGTGCGCGTCTCGAGTAGCGGTGAGCGGCATAAAGATCAACGCTCTATAAAGAGCATTTCGCGGGTCTCTTAAAATCAAAGCGTAACGAAAAGTGTGTGACAAAATGTTCAATAAATAAACAAATAAAAACGACAGCGAACAGAAACGCAAGACAAACAAACAAATTATGAAAAGCAAAATAAACGCGAATTGTGATTGAAGAAACGCGCGTTTCTTTGACACATAACATAACATAAATGAATAACTAAGGAACTATTTCAATTATTTGCAGACACATTTATGTGAGGAACACAGGAACACAGCTTAATGAATTATGGAACATGTGAATACAACAAATACAAGGCAACAGCAACAACAACAGCAGCAGCTGCAGCAAAATCAACTGGAGCAGCAGCAACAACATAGCGAAAATCAACAACAATTCTGCCTGAGATGGCATAATCATCAGGTGAGCAAATTGTTGAGAAAATAAACACAAACACAAATGTAATCGTAATAAATATATATATAAACTAGCGGGTATAACCCGGCCTTGCCCGTGGCACGTATGTTATAAAATCAATGTTTTTTAAAAGCTTTGAAAATGATTTTGAAACTGATCGGACGGGAATCAAAATAACTTAAAATTCACAAAAAAAACTTTGAAATGCATTTTCCACCGAAGGAGTTTAGATTTTGGGAAAAATGTGAAACACGTCTCAAATGATTTTTCTTATAGATCTTTGGAAATAAATTTGAACACAAAACGTCATCCACCAAATCTTCGACCCCCATTTGCACCAAGGAGGGATGGATTTTTCAAAAAGTCTGAAACACCCCTCAAATGAATTTGAATATAGATCTTTAAAAATGAGTTTGGGGCCGATCGGATGGTAAACAAAAATCTTTCATACAACCGTTTTCCGCCAATTTACTACTGTTGCGGGTGGAATTTCCCAATTCGCTGTAATACGTATTCATTAAGTTCTTATGGAGAGCTTTGAAAATAAGCTTAAAGCAAATCGGACACAACTTAAAACTTCGCCCAAAAAATCTTTAAATCGCATTCCCCCCGAAGAAGTTTGGATTCTGCGAAAAGTGTGAAACACGTCTCAAATGATTTTTCTTATAGATCTTTGGAAACGAATTTGAGCGCGAAACGTCACCCACCAAATCTTTGACCTCCATTTCCACCAAGGAGGAACGGATTTTACGAAAAGTGTGAAACACCCCTCAAATAAATTTGAACAAAGATCTTTGAAAATAAGTTTGAGGCCGATCGGATCGTTAACAAAAAACTTTCATACAACCGTTTTCCGCCAATTTACCACTCTTGCGGGTGGAATTTTCCAAATCGCTGAAATACGTATTTATTAAGTTCTTATGTAGAGCCTTTAAAAATAAGTTTGAAACAAATCGGACACAACTTAAAACTTCGCCCAAAAAATCTTTGAATCGCCTCCCCACCTGAAGAAGTTTGAATTCTGCGAAAAGTAAAAAACACGTCTCAACTGAATTTTCATATAGATACTTGAAAATAAATTTGAGGGCGAAACGTCACCCACCAAATTTTTGACCCCCATTTCCACCAAGGAGGGTTGCATTTTCCAAAAAGTGCGAAACACCCCTCAAATGAATTTGAACAAAGACCTTTGAAAATAAATTTGAGGCCGATCGGATGGTAAACAAAAAAGTTACATACAAACGTTTTTCGCGATTTTTCCACACTTGCGGGTGGAATTTCCCAAAACCCCGTCTTAACGTGCACCTACATCAAATAAGGTAGCTACAGTGAAAATTTCAGCTTCCTAGCTCTTACGGTTTGGGCTGTGCGTTGATCACCAATCAGTCAGTCAGTCAGTCAGTCAGTCAGTCAGTCAGTCAGTCAGGACAAACAGTTATATATATAGAGATTATAATCAAATAGAAAGGATAAGGAAAGGAAAAGAATATAGTAGGACGGGCCAAAGATCTTGGCAAATTCCTATAACTGAATGGAATTCTACTTGGTGCATACATAATCCGCACCCATTGTGCTTTCTGTTCGGTTCAGGTGCCATCAATTCCGAGCTACTTAGCTCATCTTATGATTTATTAGCTTCAATCTGTTTTCCAAAGCAACCGAAAATTTCAAATGAATATTTTTATAGACGTCGTCAGTTTATACGGTGTATTAGCCAAAGGCCTGGCCTCGGCCATAAAACTGACTGGACATCGTTCACAAGAAGCGACCAGCGAAATGTCACCCGTCTATATATAGGGTATAGCGATATATACATATACATATATACACATATATATAAATATATGTATATATATATGTTACTTATTCACACATAGTTTTCCGCATTTCATATACTGACAATTTTGTTGCTCACCAATGCTGGCCAGAGATCAGCCGTTGGAGGGAGACGCAGGGAGGGACGCACCACAAAGCTGTCCAAAATAGCCAAAGGCAACAGGGCGAGGCGGAGTAAGTTGGGGAACCAAACAGAGAGAAGGAGCAAAAAAAAAATTGTCAAATAAATGAAATGTTCACTGCAATTGCCAAAATCCAAAGAATTTGTACTAGCAACTAAATCTAATTTCGAAGCGACCACAAACGCGACGCAGTTGCAATTAATGCTCAGCTGCCATTAAGTGTCGCCCGGCGCATCTGCTCCAAATGTTTTCCGGGCGCACAGTTTTCTAGCCTAGGGCCGAGAGCACAAATTTAACCAGCCCACAGTACCACACAGTCCCAGGCAGCTGGCCAAATCGACTCGTACTATTTATACGATTAAGTGACCCAATTGCCCTTCCAATTGCAACTACAACATATTCCTCCGCTGCCTCGTCTCCATTCCAGACCAGCCTGCTTAGCACGCTGCCGGTGCTGCTGGATCAATCGCAGCTCACGGATGTGACCATTTCGGCGGAGGGGCGGCTTCTGCGGGCGCATCGCGTGGTGCTGAGCGCCTGCAGCAGCTTCTTTATGGAAATCTTTCGTGCCCTGGAGGCCAGCAATCATCCGGTCATCATAATACCCGGCGCCAGTTTTGGCGCTATTGTCGCCCTGCTAACGTTCATGTACTCCGGTGAGGTGAATGTCTACGAGGAGCAGATACCCATGCTGCTCAATCTGGCTGAAACATTGGGCATCAAGGGCCTGGCGGATGTGCAAAATAATAATGTAAGTAATGAAGAATGGGCAAGTGTTTATTCCAAATCTCAACTTTCCTCCCTGGCCTTAGCTACCCAAGACAACGAAAAATGCTCCGTGCAGCACACCGACAGCCTGCATGGAGCCCGCCAGCGTGGACAAGCCGCTGGGATTTGATGCAACTAGAACACCTTCGCCAGAGGCCACGCCCACAGCTACACCCAGTCTGGTCATGCCGCAGCTGCCAAATCCCACGCTGCAAGCGCCACTGCTGGCCAACAAATTGGGCTCGCCATTGGAGAATTTCTTTCTAAAGTCGCTGCAGTTCTATCCGAATCTCTTGCCGCAACCATTGAACTTCTCGCAAACGGCGCTGAACAAGACCACAGAGCTGCTGGCCAAGTACCAGCAGCAGTGCCAGCTCTATCAGAACAGCCTGGAGGAGGACGATTGTTACGGGTCCAAGCGGCTGAAGACTGGCAGCGGTGCCACTGGCAATCCAGGCAACTCAACGGCACAGCAACAAAAGGATGTTAAGCGCATAGACAAGATCGTGGAGAATCTAAGGACTAGCAATAGCAACAAGTCGCCCATGGAATGTGCTGCTCCGAACTCAATTGTGGCCACTTCACCGGTCACACTTGCGCCACAGAGCATGTCGCACTTCTCCCCGCAGCTGCCTGTGGTCAAGTCGTCGCCCAGCTACAATAATCCATTGAGCGCCGGCCACTTGTATAGCAGCGCCAAGCTGCCTAGTTACAGTGCCGCTGCCACGCCCACAACGGCACAGCAAGCATCCCACCAGGCGGCGTCATCACACCATGCCAGTCCGCCCTACATCACGCCCGAGGATCACGTCAAGCTGCAGCAGCACATCGAACAGTATGCGGCCTGCCAACGGGAGGCTGCGGCCGCTGCAGCAGCTGGACAATTGATTAGCGCCAAGTCGGAGCCGAATCTGTTGTCACTCAGCGCCGAGAAGATGCCAACGGCCAACAAGCCGCCGTCCAACTCCAAGCTGTATGCCACATGCTTCATCTGCCACAAGCAGCTCAGCAACCAATACAATTTGCGCGTGCACCTCGAGACCCATCAAAACGTGCGGTAAGTTATCCCTCACAGATGCTGGACAACTGCAGTTCTTGGAATTGACTTTTAATCACCTTCAGCTATGCGTGCAATGTTTGCTCGCACGTGTCGCGCAGCAAGGATGCACTGCGCAAGCATGTCAGCTATCGGCATCCTGGCGCGCCGTCTCCCTGCGAGAACGAGGCCCGACGCAAGCGCGTCACAAAGCTGGCAGCTCAATCGATCTCCGCCGCTGCGCCGTCCGCTACGGCAACCAGTAGCGATGTGGCCGCTGGCGAAGCATCAGGCTCCGGCGCGGGCTCAGGCTCAGGCTCGAGTGGTGGTTCGGGCTCAGGTGCGCTCTCCTCCAATCCTTACCTTTTTCTTCCCAATCAGTTTCAGCTGGCCGCCGCGGCGGCTGCTGTTGCCGTGGCCGAATCGAATACAGCAACCAGCCTGGATGTAGCGCACGAGGTGCCCGTTTCCATGAAGAGCGAAACGGACACATCGACCATTTGAGGCAGCACCACAAATTTAACTCGTTAAACACGCACTCAAACACACACACACACACACACTCGCACACACACTCGCACACAAACAACCTCTCACTTAAATTAGCTCCACCACGCACCGAAACCAACGTCTTAGACCCGGCTGTGATACTTAGCACAATTCGTCGTTTTTGTTTTCGATTTATTTTTTATTCTGTTAATTTTGGCGCCATTTGTTAGAGTTTCGCTTGCACTTATCGATAAGGCGCGTCGATAAGTCGTGAGTGGTGGCATCACTGTCACCGTTTGAGAGTGACATGTGCGAACAGTTTTGATAGCACTGAGTGCACTCAAACTGTTTGTATTATCACAAACTGTAATATCGCGAGGCTTTCAAATTACCTTCTACAAAGACCAAAACACACACACGCACACACACACTCTTACGCACACACGCCTACACATTCTAATAAATTAAGAGCAATTTTTATAAATATTATAATTATACACCAAAAAACACGCACACACATGCACACAAAAAGACAAGGTGAAAACCTACAAAAACCAAGAACAAAATAAATTTTAAGCCACAAAAAAAAAACATAAGTATTGTTACTTTTATGCAAAAACTAATTTATTTCATTTCATAATACAATAATTTACGTACGCAGGCGCACTTTATACATATGTTTAAACTGTAGTTCAGTTGTATAAGTATCAAAAAATTTGTTTAAAACACATACAAGTATAATGAAGTGGGTTTGACGGAATTATCTCAAAGAATAGATCATGTTAAAATATTTCAATTCACATCATGCTAAAAGAAAATATGATTGGCAGAAAAACACTTTTGGGCTTAAAGTTAAGGGGGCATAATGAGTGCGTAATATAAATATCTAAATTTAAATAAACTGTTGCACTTAAATGAAATGAAGCTGATTCCGAAGCATTAGGAGCTCGGCGGCAATTAAATGGGGTTTAAACGGATCCGTCTCTCCTCCTTCTCTCTGAATAAGTATAAAAATATGCGCTGGCTGCGCTATATATATCTCGTTGTTCTTTTCCTATTGGCATACTTTAGATAGTTTCTACATGCCAGACTTTGGTATTGCAATCCTGACCAGTGGAGATCACAGTATTATTGTCCAGCCACACAAGGCGCGTAATTTGCGATTGTGGATGAGCATCTGAGCAAGAGAGAAAAATGTTATTTCATAGTTAGTCAAAATTTAAATTTTACTCACTCTTGATGATGGTGTGCTTGGCTGGATTGGTCAAAGACCAAATAATAATTGTAGTATCAAGTGAGCCGCTGGCCACTAGCAGCGAATTGGGTGACCAGGCCACAGTATTGACGCGCGCATTGTGGAAGCCCCATTCCTTGTTGTGAGCCAGCTTGAATAACAAATTAAAATAGATAAGATAACATGCATATGTAATATGTTTGCGATATTCTTTATAGGTAGCAGCCTCTCACCTTGTATTCTTCCACCGAATAGAGGACCACCTTACGGTGAGCATCACAGGCAACCAAATACTTTTGATCCGGCGAATAGGCGACATCGGTGACAGCGCCCAGATGGTCCAGTTCCGTCTTCAGCTCCAAAGTGCCTTCTTTCAGTGAATAGATATGCAGCTTTTGATCATCACCACCGACAGCAACATCCAAAGTGTCAGGATTGGCCGCAATAGAGCTGGCTTCGTATTTGATGGGCAGCGAGAATATCTTCTTTTGACCCTGCACCAAAGTAATCTCCTTAATGCAGGCCAAGGCAATGATATTCTCACTCCGTAAGATGGCCAAGCCACGTGGCTGGCAATTGAGCTTGACTACGTAGTCCGAGTAGCTGTTGCCCTCAACACTGAACTGCCTTAGACTATCGTCAATTCCACATGTGTAGACAAATTCATCCCAGGCGGCAATGCCGTTTATCTGATTGCCATGACCAGTACCAGTGATGCGATCGTTGACGCCGTTGCCGGAATTCCAGTTAGTCACAATGCCGTCGTGGCTGCCGGTGTAAATAGTGCTGCGGTCATCGCTCAAGCCCAGGACTGTAATTGGTTTATTGTGACCCTTGACCACCCGCAGTGGTTTGCTGGGATCCTCCACATTCAAATAAGTAATGACTCCAGACAGGGAGACGGTTAGCAAATGCTCCCCCTGCCACAGGCACGACACCTGCTGATCATCCACGGTGCTGCCCATAACAAACTCGCTGATCAGCTCACGGGACTCAACCTGCCAGAGACGGCAGGTCTTATCACCCGAGCAGGTAAGTAGCTGAGTGCCGTCTGGCTTCCAGGCGACCGCGTAAACGCCACCCTTGTGTGCTGGCGAACCGAATTCGCCCAACAGTTCCGAGCTGGTTCCATCATACAAAAACACTTTGCCATCAAAGCCAGCCGATGCAAAGTATTTACCATCCGGCGAGTAGCGCACAGCCTGCACAAAGCGCGAATGCTCCTGCTTTGTCATTTTAAACTTGAACGGAGGTCCCTCGAAAATGCCAATCGTGTTGTCTTCGCTGCCTGGAATTCCATGTATTAGATACTTAACAATTTATAGAATATATTATTACTTACCAGTCACAATGCGAAATGGTCTGGCTGGCCTGAAGTCCGCCGAGTTGATGGGTTTGGACTGGCCACTGATTTCACCCACTGATGTGCCCGTTTCGGACATAAAGACGTGACCAAAACGCTCGCGACCCTCGCCGACAGCGACAATGCGTTGATTGTCGGGCGACCAACTGATGTCCTTGATAGGTCCTGCAATCGGCTGGAATTCATTCTTCAGCAAATGCTCCTTGTTCACGGTATCCCAAATACGAATCTTTCCCGACGCATCTGTATGATGATAAAGAAAAATGTTATAGTCTAAATATTTTTGATGAAAAATATCTTATATTTATGATGTACAAGCAAGCACGTTTATTTTATTACATTCCCCGTTATATACATATTGATATAGATAAGAGGGTGAATTCCACAAAAGATAACATCAACACAAAAGCTAGATAGCATGGTCGCAAGATTGGAAAAATGGGATATTACTTCTATGCAATTTTTGATTAAGTTTTCATTCCATTTGAAAGTGATAAGATAATCGCCCCTTGCCCATATGGTAATTGAGTATTGACAGCTGACGTGAGTCATGGACATGAATATGGTGTTTGTGGTTTTTAAGGCTTCTTTACAGCTGGTTGCATTGTTTAACTTACCGCCGGATGCAATGTAGAAGCCGCTGGGCGAATACTTGGCCACATTCACTGCACACGAGTGTTCCGTGTAGACATCGGCAATCGCTGGATTCTAGGCAGGCGATGATGGTAATCGGAGCGTGACCAGGCAAATCAAGAAAAGCGCACAAATAACAAAATTCAAAAAATTAATAATATTTACAAGCAATTTTTTTTTGTGGACAGCGGCAGCCGCATCAGCAGCCGCAGCCGCAGCCGCAGCAGCAGCAGCAGCGGCGACATCATAATTATGTTGTGTGGGCAGTAAGAGAGAGAGAGTGTGAGAGAAATTTCTGTGTGTGTGTGTGTTTGTTTTTGTGAAAAAAAAGCCGCGCCGGCTGCGGCAATATATACAATGTAGTATATACATACTTATGTACAGATGTGCGGTAAATAAATATAGAACAGCCAGCATACACACACAGATAGAATGATCGCTGTCAAGTGGAAAATAACGCTTGAAAATTGCAGCTGCCGCCGTGCGCAGTCCAAAAATAAACATTATTCGCTTTTTGGAGCAGACGTCTCATATTTTGTGATATTATTATAGCCCAAATTTGTGCAGATATCAAATGAACTTACCTCAATATTTCTGATTATCACCGAGTTGCCATTGGTATAGAGAAAGTTCTTGCCCTTGGGATCTGCACCCAAAACAATGGGCTGGCCACGTTGAGTGCGCGGCAGCGTTGCATAGACATTTTCTGCAAAATTTTTAAATTCAAATGTAAATTAAAAATAAAATCATAATATAAACCGCCGTGGGTAAGGACGGTAAAAACAGAACAGGGTGCGGTCGACGGCTTTTAGCCGGTTTTTGCTTTGCTTTCGCCGGGTCAAGGGATCCCCCTGCCCGCACTACTGTTTATCTGAATAAGTCTACTTCGCTGCGACGCCGACTAGCTGAATTCCATTTATGGTCATATCAAAGCGTTTCCGCTGTTTTTACCATTCTTGGCTGACTCATTTTCGGCGTCGCCGCTAATGCCGTTTTCACTACTTTTATGGTTATTTAAGAATCAAGTATAACTCACTGTTTTCATAGGCCGGTTGTTGAGGTTGCGCCATTGCTTTTTCTATTGTGGCTTACGATTTCTTATTGGCTTTGTATAAATAGCAAATTGATATATTAGCGTAAAAACACCCGCACTTGCACTGTACGCGACCAGGGCTGTCTTACAATTTTGATGCCTTTCGTTGTTATTAAGTTTAACAGCGACAAGACTTTAACATAATAATATTCTGCTATTAACATGTCAAAACTGCTGTTATTCAAATATTTTCCCCATAAAAAACCATTGATTTGTTATTTAGTTAGCGGAATTCAATACATATTAGTGGAAATTAGCAGTTTAGTTTGCCGTCGTTTGGAAAAAAGGCGGCTATTGAGTTTCAAATTTGAATTTAACAGCTGCTGACTGTTCTACTTTACAGTCTCTACATATGCATAAGTAGCCATAACATGCAAAGGCATACTGTCATACTGTCTCCAAGCAGAGAGGGATGGAAATCAAAAAGTCTTGGCGTTTGTATAATGTTAAAATACAGCTGATCTGTTATGACTGTAATATGTTAGGACTCATTTCGAGCCAATAAGCAGCTGTTTAATGCTATGCATCATTTGCCATTTTCTTCTAACTTAGACATCATTTAAAAAGTCATTTTTCTTTAAGACGTTCTTCTATTTTTTTTGTATTAAACTCCATTTATCAAAATCAGTTATTTGGTTTATGTAAAGTAAGTACTGCATTTTGAGGAACAATTTGGTGCACTGTTAATAACTTTCAGGGAATGTTAAAGTTTTGGGTGCCCACAACTATCCGTATGTAATTTGTAACCTTAAAATGATTTGTTTACTTTTTCGCCATACGCGTAATTCCCGTCAATTACTTTTTAAGCAAGTTTTAAAATCACCGGCTTACACAGTCAAAAATGCGCTGCACACTACAAGATGTAAGTGGCCTGCCTCAATGTTGGGCGCAGTTGGTATTTGCAATTGTGCGTGTTGATTATGAAATTATGTTTGGCTTGTTTATTGCTTTTAGTTCTGAGACATGGGGAGTATGAGTGGCAAGATCCTAAATCACCGGATGAAATGTAAGTAACAGGCGATGATAACCGTATTAATGTAGATGTAATTATTTGCTTGGTCTAGCGTTAACATAACGTACGTTGACAAGGAGGGCAAGCGCACCAAGGTGCAAGGAAAGGTGGGCGACAATGTGCTGTATCTGGCGCACCGGCATGGCGTCGAAATGGAGGGTGCCTGTGAGGCATCTCTAGCTTGCACCACGTGCCATGTGTATGTGCAGAACAACTATCTCGACAAGCTGAACGAGGCTGACGAAAAGGAGGATGATCTGCTAGATATGGCGCCATTTCTGCGAGAAAATTCCCGCCTTGGCTGTCAAATAGTGCTTGAAAAAAGTATGGAAGGCATGGAGCTTGTTCTGCCCAAGGCAACACGTAATTTCTATGTGGACGGGCACAAGCCAAAGCCTCATTAACACATCGTTATTAATTACTGTTACTCCCAGTTAAATAAAGATTATTTTTTAAGTGTTCGTGTTCCCAACTTTCATATATTTCTTAAGTTTATAAACAATGCTTTCGTTTTGTGTGTCATCTGGCAAATTAAACTAAAGAACATTTTATTAAGTTGAGCCTATATAATTACATTTTCTAATTGGTGAATACCATGAAATGAAAGCAGAACGAAATGGATGAAAACAGTTTGAGTTTGTGGAAATGTGGTGTCATAAGAAATGGTATAAAACAATATTGTAATAATTATGTTACAATTAAAGAATATATGTAATAGTCTAAATGTGTATAGCGACAAACTAAAAATCATTACAACAAATACACTGCACTATAGAACGATTGTGCCAGCGTGTGTGAATGATGCTCGTTGGGTTAAGTGTGCGTTCAGTTCGAAGATGGACTGCTGGAACCTGAGCGAGAGTGAACGCTATTACGGTCCTGCTCGCTGCGCTCCTCATCACGATCGCGACTCTTTTCATCCTTGTCCAGATCACGTTCTGGCTCTCGCTTGCTTTGCTTATCGGGCGCAGGAACAGCAACAAGTTCTTCTTTAGGCGATAAGTTCTCGCGTTTGATTGCCTCCTTTTCAGCTTTGGTGACGCCTCCTCCACCGCCCTTTTTGTTGTTGCTTTTCTTCATAACAGCCAAGTCTTTCAGAAGGCTGGCAACCTTGCGATTCAAATTATCCACTTTCATGTCATGCAGCCGCTCAACCTCCTTCAGTCTGTTGCGCATCTCGTTCTCCTTTTCAAAGTTTTTGCCTTTCAGCTCTGTCAACTGCAAACATAAATAATATTCATTACAAATTCATTAGCATTGTTTTAATGTGTGTGTGTGTCACCCACTTGCTTATCCTTCTCCAGGAGCTCTTTGTCTTTTTGATTTAAGCGCTTCTCAAGACTGGCAATGCGCTCCTTCAGATATGTTATGGCTACCACGTGATCCGACGAGTTTGTGTCCACTGTGATGGCAGCTGGTGCAGCAATTGTGCCGTTACCGCTATTGCCGCGCGATATCTTATCGGGTAGATCCATGCCGGCACCGCTAACTGATGTCACACCGCTGGTATTGATGTTGCCAGCGCCTTTGGAAATGTCTCCACCGCGTGATGATTTCTTTGCGGACGCGTGGCCTTCTCTATGCGCAGTTGACGAGGACTTCTCATGTGGTCGCTTCTTAGACATGGATATTCGGCCCTCCTGCTGTGCTTTCAGCAGTGCACGCTTATACGCACAGGTACAGAGCCAGCACAGTACTTTACCATTGACCTGCAAGAGGGCAAATAATTGTACGGTTAACAATGGTTAAGTGCTATTCGTGATTATGCTGGCTTTAAAATTAAAACTCTTAAGACTTTTAGGCTCAACACTCTTATGAACGCAATACAAAATCTCTAAACTCATGACTGCAACACGACACTCGGTGAAGCCTGTACATGGTCTATGTCTAAATAAAACAGGTTCTGCTTAAAATTATGTTATTCAATATTGTTAAAGTAAAATGGCTGCAATCCTTGATGCTGACTTTAGCTACATGAGCTTTGAGCCTTCTTCTTTGTAACTCGCTGACCTTTTTGTTCTCGTCGCGCCTGTCAAAGGCTGATCGCAGCTTGCACTCGTCGCATTGTGTGGGCGGTCCGTACTTAGCCTCGTAGCTGGCGCATCTATTTGCAGTTAGTGTGATATTTGGTTTGGTTAAAATGTTTTTCACACGTGGAGCAGAAAAGAGAAGAGAGAAAAATGTTTTGCGTTCATAAGAGACGTTGTTTTCGTTTCTATTTTGTTTGGTTTGCTGATTTGAAGAGTTCAAGAAGAGAGTATCTACTCAAGGGCAAGGCAAACGCGCTTTGGTACATGTATTTTGAAGGCACAATTAGTTGGGTAAAAAGGGGTGATACATGTTTAAACATAAAGTTCGTTTAATAAGTTATTTGATCATCAAATTAAGTTGATACGAGCTCTTTATACATTGTGCATTCAAATTACAGCGGCTGCCACGTTGCTCGTGCATTTTAATTTATCTTTTTTTTCTATCAAAGTAACTAGTTTTTGCTTTAGTCAAAGTGATTGAATAGAAGATCAACATACCTCATGCATTTGGAACTGCCGAAGGCGGCAACGATTTTGCAGCACTCACAGGCGGTGGGCTTGCCATATTTACTCAAATAATGTTCGCATTTTTTACAGGCACTCTGTGATTTGCTGGAAATGTGAAAAAAAATAATAGAGCCATGCAGAATAGACAGATTAACGCATTTTCCTTTACTTACGAGTTGGAGGGAAATTCCGAGCGGCAGTAAGTACATTTAACAACTGAGGTAGAACCACGGCACACCTGTGGAAAATCAAAATGAATATGAAACGTGAGTTGTGTTTATTTCAGCCTTGGCCAAAATAAGTGAGAATTGATCGGTGAGCACGAGCATATTTTGCTGCTTTGCTTTTGTTTGCATAGCAATTGTATTCTTAATAAAAGCTGTGTTTAGCTGTAGCCTGAATTAATGGGGATGTGTACTTGAACACATTACAATTATGGCAGCTTCAAATTTCATTAGTCACAGGCGTCGTCGCCAATGCCATATACAAAGTTGCAACGAGCTGCTACCATTCTGCTTCCTCTTGCCGTTCATTTTCACTTTTAATGCGCAGCAAGAATTTTCGCAAGCAAGCGTCGCGTCATTTTTATTTTGTTATTGCCAAAAAACAATAGCCCACGTACACATCCTTTACTTTTGGCACAATGCATACACACACATGCGAAATGCTGTTTGTTTGTTGCATTTTGTGTTTGTTTAAGAGATTTAATTCGTATTATTTGGTTCACCTTGCAAAGCTGCTGGCCCGAGGAAAGTTCTTCGTATGGGTGCCGAGAAAAACATTTGGAGCATGCGAATAATACTTTTGAACTCATTTCTAAATTTTAAAATTTCTAAATTTTTCTTTTGTGCTGTTTTCTTTTATAAATTTTACTCTTTATTTGCGATTTAGAAGACGATGCAAACAGTGTCACCACAATAATAAAATTGAAATACAAGCTCGGTATTAGGGTGACCATGCTTCACGCATAAATATTTATCGATGTCTAATTTATCGAACGCACAGCAACCCTCTAAATACAGCTCAGTGTAAGTTAGAGCAAAGAAGAAGAGAGAAAGACGCCTCAAAGCAAAATTCAAACAATTCAAAAAACGTCCAATTCAGGCTGTACTAATAACTCAACAAAAAACAAGAAAAAACAAACAAATAAAAACAATAAGCGAAAAGTGTAATTAAACAGTTTCAAACATGCCTGAACAAACCAATATTAAGGTGATAGTGCGCGTTCGACCATACAATCAGAGGGAAACAGAACAAAATCAAAGATGTATAATAAAAGTAATGGACGGATCTTCACTGTTGTTCGACCCAGACGAGGAAGACGACGAATTCTTTTTCCAGGGTGCCAAGCAGCAATACAGAGACATCTCCAAGCGTACTAACAAAAAACTATCAATGGAATTCGATCGTGTCTACGACACAGATCGCACAAACGAGGACCTGTTCATGGAGTGTACAGCGCCGCTGGTCGATGCAGTGCTCGATGGGTAAGTGTAAGAATGCACCTGAAACTTAATATTTGTTAACATGTGCATTTCGCTCTGCTGACAGGTACAATTGTTCGGTGTTTGTGTACGGTGCGACGGGTGCAGGCAAAACATACACAATGCTTGGCAGCGAAAATAGTCCGGGCCTCACGTTTCTAACAATGCGCGACCTTTTCGAGAAAATTCAAAGCCAACAGGACATACGCAAATTCGATGTGGGCGTCAGCTATTTGGAGGTGTATAATGAGCAAGTTATGAACCTGCTCACAAAAACAGGCCCCTTGAAGCTGCGCGAGGACGCTAATGGTGTGGTGGTGAGCGGATTAGTTCTGAAGCCCATATACAGTGCTGAGGAGCTGCTGCACATGCTCAGACTGGGCAATTCGAACCGCACTCAGCATCCAACGGATTCCAACGCGGAAAGCTCACGTTCACATGCAATTTTTCAAGTTCACATTCGGATCACGGATCAGAAAACTGGCGCCAAGCGCAGCGTAAAGCTTTCCATGATTGATTTAGCAGGCAGTGAACGTGCGGCTAGCACCAAGGGCCTTGGTATGCGATTCAAAGAGGGCGCCAGCATCAACAAGAGCCTGTTGGCGCTGGGCAACTGCATAAATAAGCTGGCCGATGGTCTGAAGCATATACCCTACCGCGACTCCAACTTGACACGGATTCTTAAAGATTCCCTCGGCGGTAACTGCCGCACTCTGATGGTGGCCAATGTGTCGATGAGCTCGCTTACTTACGAGGACACTTATAACACCCTAAAGTATGCCAGTCGCGCCAAAAAGATACGCTCTGTGCTGCGCCAGAATGTGCTCAAATCGAATTTGCCCAAGGAATTCTATGTGAAGAAGGTTACCGAGCTAATGAGCGAGCAGGAACGTCTATTACTGCATAACAAGGGTCTGGAAGCCAAACTGGCGCAAATGGAGCGCTCCGGAAACAATGGCTACGATCCACAGGAGCTTAAGCCTTGGTTTAGCCGAATCGACGCTGTATACGCTACTGTGATCAAGCTGCAGCAGTGCGTCATTGGTCTACGCAGCAAAATACAGACCCTGAGCTACCGACAAACGCTGAAAAAAGACTTTGAGCAGCTGCGCAAAATTGTGACGCTGGACCAACGACTGTTTCAGGAGGTGCGTATCTTGATTAACTCTAAAGTATGCTGCACCCAAGCGTGATGATAAATTTGCCGAATTTAATTCGGTTATTTTAATTAATTTATAATCACGCCTAAGGCTAATTTTCAGACAAAAGTTTATCTTACAAACATAGTTTTAATATTTGATAAAAGGCAGTGACATTTATGGGCAAACTTTATATTCAATATCAGTCTTTATGCATCGCCTAGAAGCTCTTTCTGCTTGCTAACCAACAATTTGTCCGCCTCGGCAATGTATTTGTCCGCAATGGCCGCAACCTGGGTCTGGGCCGCAAAGGCATCGTCTTTTCCAATGTCCGTCTGCTTCTTCAGCTTGCGTATCTGTGTATTCTGTATGTCCCGTATGGCGTCGCGATACTTGATAAACAAAGCTTTGGCATTCTTGGAGAGGTGCTCGCGATGCTCCTTTGTCACCTTGGGTATCGGTATGAAGAGTGTTGTGCCGTCTTGCTGCGGGTTCAGATTCATGCCGCTCTTTTCAATTGCCCTCAACACATCGGGTATCGTTTGGGGAAAGGCAATCATATTTACAACAATCGTCTTTGGATTCTTGCGCGATATCTGCGCCAGCTCCTGCAGTTCATGCTCCGCTCCATCCACTTTGATACGCAGCGAGTCGATGGAGCCGCTTGTGGAGCGCAGCGATAGGTTCTTTATGAAATCGTCTTTCATTTGGAGCACTGACTTTTCCATCTGTGCATTCAGGCTATCCAGGTTGATCAGTTCGCGCAGCTGCTGCTCATTTATGTCCACCTTAACAGGTTTACCTTTTCCGCCTTTTTCTTTCTTTCTATCCTTGCCTTTTGCATAACCGCGCGCCTGTTGCAGCCACAGTGCTGCTTCTCCTGCCCCCGTTTGTGGCTGTTGTTGATATTGGCTGAATGTACTGAGCACCGGACGAAGCGGCGTGAGCCTTGTGCTCAAGGCACGTAAATGCACTCCCGTTTTGGCGAGCATTTCCAAATAATTAAAATTTACAAATAAAATAAATGTCGCGTTGCCAACTTGCGTCAAATTAATTATATCTGACAAACAGTGTTGCCAACTTGTTTTGCTGGGCAAGGGCAGTACGCTGGCGAAGCAAAAAGCTTTGAAAATTGTTGCTCTGTAATTTTGTTTTTTAATTTTAAGTTTTTACATTTTTTTTAAAATTTTAAAAATATTCACACCTCTCTTTTTGGCAGGACTATAAACTATTCATGAACTATGTGAACGCATTGGGCACAAGAAATCAGAAATATACCGATGAGCTGCCACAGTGGCGCAACAAGTTGGAGGCTGCCTGCATAAATCTGAAAAAGCTAAAGCTTGAGGCGAAGGAATCAAAATACCACCATATCCTCAGTTTGTATTTTAGCAATAAGGATCTGGAAGTGCAGCTGTCCAAGCAGCAGATAAACAGCAATCATCTGACCGGTATTAACAATGAGCAGGCGGAGAATTCGAGCCTCCTGCGTAAGTCCTTTTCCATGATCTGCGATGTATTACATCAGTTATACAACCGTTTGGAGGAGACGCAGAAACTGACGCCAGAGATACAAGGTGTATACGAACGATTGGAAAGAAAGATGCGTTTCACAGAGTCGGAAACAGAAGCGTCAGCGCAGGACATGGAATTGGATGCACTCCTCGCCGAACAGCATGAGGAGAATGAGCCGTCATCAACACTGACCAGCAGCGCCAGGAAGCGCAATCGCGCTCGTCGCTACACGCACACATTAACCAATAGTGAATTTGTGCTTCACCTGGGGGTGGATAGCTTCGAGGACACAGACTCTGACACGGACACTGTAGAGGACAGCCAGCAGGTGTTTAAGAAACCACGCAACCTTGACGTTACTCAAGTTATTGCCAGCAACATGAACTCGCACAAAGCGCTGACAGCGACCGTAACAAAGCCACGACCCGTCAGCCATCGTATGGTATCGGACATGCTCTCGGATCAGAATGTCTGCGGATCTGCAGACAAGGAGAAAATGAAGCAAGGTAAGCTCAAATCAAATGAAATTCCATAACCCCTTGCTAAGTCTGCTGTCTTTTGCATTTTCCAGCTCTGCTCAAGTCTAGCAAGTTTACCACGCAGGGATTGCAGCGCACATGCGCAGCTGCGATACAAAAGGAGAATTTAAAGTTCTCTGCGAACTGTGTGAGGAAAAGTCCGCGTGCTCTTATCGCCAAAAGTGAGTACTTGGCCAATAAAAATTACGTTTTTCCATCCATATCTTTAATCACATTTTATACAGCTCTCGCTGGCAGTGCGGCGACGTTGCGCAAACCGATATCTCGCCTTGCAGGAACCATTGGCTCGGGCGCCAAGGAGGCGCCAGTGGTAAGAATAAATCGAGCTGCCTCATTTCGCGTAAAAAAATAATTTATGATGTTTGCATTTTTTAAAGCGTTTATTTTTAATTTCGTTCATTTTATGCAAACCAAACTTTTAATTTACTGCTTTTAGTTTTGTAAAAACCTAATTAATCATTAAATATATATATTATGTAAATTTTAATTTTTTTTTAAACGTTGAAAAGCATTGTGTAATGCTTCAACTCTAGAAATATAATGTCGATTCCTTGCCAGCATCCAAATTTTGTCTATCGTTTCGGTACATGTCACCAGCATGCCACGTCCCGATTCGCTGTGCCGGCGCTAGTCCTAGCAAGCCAAGCAGCATATAGAGCAGGGCGCCTAGATTGACACCCAACAGCAGCAGGCCCGGGCCGAGTGAAGCGGCTTGCATGGGACCCGGCCAGCCAGTTTGTTGACCGCCAAAGCCGCCGTAGGCCAAGCGACGCCAAGGTTGGCGTTCAACTACATCACTTGGCAGCTGATCCAAGTCCTGATCCTTTTTCTTGCTCTCAGCTAAGAGCGTATAACGGGGCACAAACGTTTTGTCAACTGCTTTATGTGCATCACTTGCCGCCGCCACCAAGCACAGTGCAAAGAGAATGAACAACTGCATGACGTCAACTGTTTGTTTAGCTGATGCCCGTCTCTCTCTTTTATAGCATCGCACGGGCACGGATCGTGTCTACATTTGGTACAGCTGAGTGATTCTTTTGAGTTGTCATCAGTCCCGTCTATCAAAAGTGTGCACAATAAAAAACCCATTGACCCGACTGTAAGGCATGCTTGTCATTTTATGTTTACATATGATAAGAAAACGTTTGTTCATTTTATTGTCCTTCTGGTTGAACGCGCAATGTGACGGTCTAGTTGAGACGCTGCGCTTTGAGCAGCACTTGTGGCTGCTCGATTTCGGATTTGCTTTGCACGAGCTTTAGCTCGCGTTCCCAGGCCTGCACAGGCCCGCTACGTGCTGGCAATAGCTGTACTGTGCGCTTTATCACGGCCTGCAGGGTGGCAATGGTCTTCTCGAAGGCGTCGGTGACATCGCCGCTGTCATGGCTGTGTGCCAGGAAGAGTGAAGCAAAGAGATCGCCGGTGCCAGTGAAGAACAGATCCTGGTTTCCTTGCTTGGGTATATCGATGGCGAGCCGCGGGCCATTTACCTGGCTGAGGAAGGCGCGTAGAACGCCGGGCTGCCCCAAGTCGCTGCTAGAGATGACAACTGTTTTTATTTTGCGTTGATGAAACCAATCCATTGCCTCCCATACTGCTGCCTCACTGCGAACCTCTTTACCAGTGAGCAGCTCCACTTCATACTGATTGGGCGTTATAATATCGGCTAGTGGAATGATCTCATCGCGATATACGGGAAGCAGCTCCTTGGGAACGTACATGCTCCCATTGTCACCCATAACGGGATCACATACATAAATCAGTTTGGGATTTGCTTTACGGATTTGCTTGAGAATGCCGCCTACTTGACGCAGGAATAACGGATTGCCAATGTAGCCAGTCAGTAGATGGGAATAATGAGACAATAACTTATTCTCCTCCAGACCCTCGAAAATATTGGCTGAACAGCGAGAAAATTAATTTGATTAGATAAGCTTGATTTAATTTAAATTAATTAAGTGTGTCTATTACCCAATTCTTTTTCAGTGGATACTGGGCCCTTGAAGCATTTGTAGCCCGTATGATTAGAGAACTGTACCGAATTCAGTGGATCCACGTCGAAACCGAGAAGCTAATACAGAGTAAATGTAAATATCGTAAACACTTGACTGGTAATTAACATATTCCGTAACAGACCTGAAGGGGATAGGTAGCCACCTTGTTGCCCACATAGCCGTGCACTACGTGGCTTTGAATGGAGAGCACTCGTTTGGCATCTGGCGTCGTCATATTAATAATGTTGCTGTATTGTCTACGATTCTGCACCTGAACAGAGACTCCAATGGCAATGCAACAAGTGCGCTGTTGGAACCGGTTGGCCGTGCTGTAAGCTACTAAGCACAACCGTTTAAGTGTTAATATACTAAATATCAAGCCTCAGTCATCTTATCAGCACTCGGTGGGCGCTCATTCGCTGATAAGTCATAGACCGTAATGGCCGCCGGGGCAATAAACAATGAGATCTCAGCAAACAGTAGTATCAATCTGAACAGTTCTTTAGCATTACTATATTTTGTTATGTTATTAAACGTTCGAACTGCCTTTTGACCTTCGACTACAATCAAACTCTAATTTTCATACATTTCTGCCCGATCCCCTCGTTCGATAGCAACACCCACTTGTTTCAGCAAATATGTATTTGGTATCGATACCAAAACAGCTGATGTGCAGGTTTTCACTGTGAATGGCATTTTTCCATCGCATGGTTTACGTAAACTTTTAATTGTTAAGTTATCTATAAAAACCGATAATTAAGTGCATTTTCTAAATTTTAACCACTCGAGATTTACCATGGCGGCTAATCTAGCACGTTTGCTGGAGCGTAACATACGTTGCAAAAATGCAGCTGCAGTGCAAAGTAGTGTGCGGCTATTTAGCAATCAGCGGCAGCAGCAGACAGAAGTGGAAGATGATGAAGGTAGCCAGCGAAAATAGTTTTAAATAAAGTTTATATCAAATGGCTTGTGCTTACAGAATTTCGTGTGCTCAACCTGCGTACAATTAAACAGCAAGCACGCAGACGGGAAATAAGAAAGGATGCAGTGCAGCCACCACGTACAATGCGCATGTCTGTCGATCAGGATTGGACGGCCGTATGGTCAGGACCGCGCTCATTTCATCCAGCCAGTGTGCCGCTGCCATTGCGTCAAGGCTACACAGAGCGCGGAGCAGCTGCGCCCTCGAAGTACGCGAATGCAGAGTTAATGAAAATACCAAATTTCTTACATTTGACGCCGCCAGCTATACGGCAGCAATGCGAAGCAATCAAGAAGTTTTGCACGCCCTGGCCGAAGGGCCTAGAAACGGAGGCCAAATGGAAGCGTCCCTTTCCTATCGAAGTTATCACCACAGACTATTGCCACAGTCTACCAACAATTCGACATCCGGAGGCTCGTCGCGTGACAATCACGCTAAAACTGTCCGATTTGAAGTTCGATGCACACGCAAAAGATAAATTTCTACGCCTTGTGGGCGAACGATACAACCAGGAGACTGGAGTGTTAACATTTGCCGCTGATCGCTGCCCTACGCGCAAGCAAAATTACGACTATGCTTTATATCTGTTAACGGCATGTTATCACGAGTCCTTTGTCACGGAGCCATGGGAAGCTACCAAGTCGGAGGCCGACATGGAGGTGTATCAATTTGAACGAAATCAAGCGAAACGTTCCGCTGAGGAAATACTCAATTGGAATGCAACAGGAGAACAGAAGGACGCGCCCAGTGCTAACTATGCAAATAGTGTAGAGGCATTGATAAATGAGGGTGAGAACGAGTACAACATAGCCAAGTATAAGGAGGAAGTACTGAAAATGTTAAAAATAGCTATCTAGTAAGCATTTCTACAAATATATTTGGTAAAACACTAACGAAAAAGTTGTAAACTCTACTAAAATAAAAAAAAATACGAAAAAAACAACAAACCATCAGGCCCCGTAAATGCCGGTAAAACGTGAATGCATGCGGCAGCTGATTTAGACGACCGCGTGTCGTGGTGAATGGCAAAAGAACAGCGGGCATTTAAGAAGCAGCAGCAATTAGTCCAAATAGAAGAAGACTGGTTTAGTGAACGTGGATTCGAGTATTTTACTTTCATAGATAATTAAAATTTAAGACTACTTTAAACCGAAACAAAAACCGCTGAAATTCGCCTAAAGTCGCCATATGACAGGTAAAATTTACAAGCTGCTCTAGTGACGTATACAATTATCTACAATGAAAACAAAAAAATAACAATCGAAAAATAAACCAAATTACATTCAGTGTTGGGTTGACCCGTATACTTTTCTTTTAATCTACGTGATTTTTAGCTGTTTTCGGCTGGTATTACCGGAAGTTGGCTGCCATATAATTCATTGTTTATCATAACTTCTAAAAAACTACTTAGAATTGTCTTCGTAGGCAATGTCAACTGTCGCAGTCGCGGCTTATCAGCAAAATGCTATGTTTGTTTTTGCTTGCTTTGTAATTGTCTCACACACACACAAGTTAGAAGTGCGTGTATGTATGTGTGTTCTCTTGAGTAGTTACAGTGAGGCCTGGCCTCAGTTCTCTTTGAAGCTCGCGCCGAGCAACAACCTTTGCTGGACTGCCTCAACAGATTTCATTTAAATAATATAATATATATAAATAGTAGGTTATTTGAATATTATATTATATATGGGTACACGTAATAATGGCGCACCGATATGCCACAAATTCGTAACATATTTTTCACAGATGTGTACTTGGCGTCTATAAACCCAGCTTTGGCTGGAAGGTCACATACACAGCTCACGGTCGCTGAAGCATGCTAAACTCAAGGCACTGAGACCTAAGCTCACCAATACAAGCATAAAGCATATTAAGCCAAATAAAATATTCTTATTCAAGAATGTTAAAATGGTTTGATGTATTGATGAATGGCGTATCAACAAATGAAAACTTAACTTTAACTATATGTGAACATAAATGCAGATATTTCACTGTACTTATTGTTCTTTTGCTCTTATCTTTCAGCTGGTAATTGGCTCGCAGCGAAGAACTAAACAACACCAGCTGAACTAACAGCACGCAACGTTGCCCGTTTTGACTCGCTCATGAGTATCTCTGTCGGTAGCAGTTGTAGCAGTGGGTCGCAGTCTGCGTAGCCAGCGAGCTTGACACGTATCCACAATAGAACAAACATAGTCTGCACACAGAATGCGTCGTCCAAATATAAAATGGATGATCAAGTCGGCATTTTTGGTGCTGGTTTCGCTGATGCTCTTCCTGTTCATCACCAGCTGGATTTCGTCAACGCCATATACGAATAAGCCGGTGCATCATGGCATCCAGCCTGAGCCCTTAAGGCCTGAGGCACTTAGGTCTGGCGACAGGCGAATGGAGTCTGCCAAAGACTTTCAGATGGATCTGCCGCTGCACAATGTAAAAAACGATGTTGTGCAGGAAGCGCCACAGGTGGATGAGCCAGACAAAGAAGACGCAGAAGACGCACAAGATCAATCGGAGGTTGATGTGCCGGATACAGCGATCAATAAGGTGGAACAAGGAAACGAGATTCTACAGGTAGCAGCACCCGATGACAATCGACTGAAGAAGGACTGGCACGACTACACGGCAATAGAGCGCGATGCCAAGCGCGTGGGGATCGGCGAACATGGTGAGGCGGCCAAGCTGGACGAGAGTCTGCGCGACAGGGAGCAGGTTCTATCGCTTGAGAATGGCTTCAATGCATTGCTCTCCGACTCTATATCAGTGAATCGCTCCCTGCCCGACATACGGCATAAGGAGTGAGTACCAATTAATGACCCGTGTTGGGTCAGTTTCCAATACGTTTTCTAATTTACACTTTCATCCCAAACAGGTGCCGTAAGAAACAGTATCTCAGCAAGCTGCCGAACGTGTCTGTGATTATCATATTTTACAATGAGTATCTGTCCGTGCTGATGCGCTCCGTGCACAGCTTAATAAACCGATCGCCGCCAGAGCTGCTCAAGGAGATTATCCTCGTTGATGACTTCAGTGATCGTGCACCTCTCTTCAAACCGCTGGAGGACTATGTTGCCGAACATTTTAGTATGGTGCGCATTGTGCGTCTGCCGAAGCGCACGGGCTTAATTGGTGCACGCTCTGCGGGCGCACGGAATGCCACTGCCGATGTACTCATATTCTTAGACTCGCACGTGGAGGCCAACTACAATTGGCTGCCACCACTGCTGGACCCGATTGCGCAAAACAAGCGGGCGGCCGTCTGTCCGTTTATTGATGTCATTGATCACAGCAATTTTAATTATCGTGCACAGGATGAGGGCGCGCGGGGCGCGTTCGATTGGGAATTTTTCTACAAGCGACTGCCGCTTTTGCCAGAGGATTTAAAGCATCCGGCGGATCCGTTCAAGAGTCCCGTCATGGCCGGCGGTCTTTTTGCAATTTCCAGAGAGTTCTTTTGGGAGCTGGGCGGCTATGATGAGGGGCTCGACATTTGGGGCGGTGAGCAGTATGAATTAAGTTTCAAGATCTGGATGTGCGGGGGAGAAATGTATGATGCACCTTGCTCTCGTGTGGGTCACATCTATCGCGGTCCACGCCAGGGCGTAAAAAATCCACGGTCTGGAGACTATTTACACAAGGTGAGTAATTAGATAACTACTTACAAGATATAGCTTTGACGAATTTATTTTCTAGAACTATAAGCGTGTAGCAGAGGTCTGGATGGATGAATACAAGAACCACTTGTACAGCCACGGAGACGGTATCTACGATCGTGTAGATCCCGGGGATCTGACGGCTCAGAAAGCCATACGCACCAAGCTCAAGTGCAAATCGTTCAAGTGGTTCATGGAGAATGTAGCCTTTGATTTGATGAAGAGTTATCCGCCCGTTGATCCGCCCGACTATGCCAGCGGCGCCATACAAAATGTTGCCGATCCTACGCTGTGTATAGATACGCTTGGCCGTGTCCGACACAATCGCGTTGGCATGTACCGTTGTGCAATTGATCTGGTGAAGCCACAGCGTACGCAGTACTGGTCGCTAAGCTGGAAGAGAGATTTGCGACTGCGCCGTAAAAAGGATTGCCTGGACGTGCAAATATGGGATGCAAATGCGCCTGTTTGGCTGTGGGACTGTCACGGGCAGCAAGGTAATCAGTATTGGTTCTATGATTATCATACGAAGATGATAAAGCACGGCAAGGAAGGCAAACGCTGCATGGAGCTGCTGCCCTTCTCCGAAGAGCTGGTGGTCAATAATTGCAACAAAACAAACCAATATATGCGATGGACCTTTGGATTCGTTAACAAAACGGCGCTGGACAACTACAGTGTAGATTTAGAGCTCATATTTTAATAGTCTTAAGATTCGCTCGTCACTTGCCATGTACTTAAAACGCAATCGTGAAGTCTAATTTTGTATTTTATGTAGCTATATGTACATATGTATTTGTGTAGACCTATCTAGTAAGTAAGCAAGATTGGCGCAAGTCACATTTCGCACATTCCCATTGTCAGTTATATTTTGACTACAAATTAAATTTGAGAACGTGTTAGTTTCTTTCTTCATCGGGTGTTACCCTGTTTTGCCCAGGCGATAGAAATTATACGTCCCTATTTACATTTTACATTGTAGATTTGGCTCCAATTTTAACAAAAGGGCAAGGGAATTATATCTTTGGATAAATTTGGTTGAACCTGAAATCAAAATTTTGAATTCCAATAAGGCATTCCAAGATGAATCTCCATTTATGTGTGGAGCTATCTTGTTCCGTACACCTGCCAATTATTAGCTACATTAAATTCAACTACAAATGAAACAAGGTTTTTAACTTTGTTTGTTGTTTTATTTAATATTAATATCTGTTTGCTTTCAATACGCGTACTTTAAATAAATATAATTTTTGTTTTATTTCATATTCTTTATATGCGATTGTTTTTTATGTTTTCAGTTTTGTTTATCGTTTTACAATATGTATCATTATCATCATTAGCTCCAACCTTATTATCGTCTCATGATTTTTTTGTCGATCTTTTACGTGCAGTGTTTTTTTAGTGTTTCAATCATTCTGTCGACATTTTGTTAAAATTAATATACGCCAATATTTATAGTATATATTCTCCAATATATATAGTGTATATATATCCATATATCTATATCTATATATATATATATATATATATATATATGTGTGTATTTTTATCTTCATCTTCTGCTTGCGCCCCGCAAATAACTGAAAACACATTGTAAACTCGTTTATAAATTAATAATGGCAAAAAGTTGGTTTTTCTTTTATTTTGAAAATTATATAAAAAGCATTTACAAACTATAATAGTTGTTGGCTTGCGTAATCAGTTAATCAATTATCAATTATCATAATTTATATTTATATATATAAACATTTAAATATTTATCAAAACATGTTTTTTCTTGTTGCTCAAAAGTCTTCTTCGCTGCCTTACATTTACATACATACGTTTTACATTTATGATTCTCCTGCACACTTCTCCCCTTCATCGTCATAATTTCAAATTATCAGCATAAGTATACATATATTTAATAACCGTTTTGTGCAAAATAATCTGTTTTTCTTTTTGTTTTTGTTTAGACTAATTTGATTTGAAATTCAGTTGCGCTGCCATTTTGTTGATTTTTTCATTTGGATGGATGTAAATTAATTGAGTTAGCTTTTTACAACAATTCATGCGTGAAATGAATAAGCAAAATATGTTGTCCTTTAGTTAATTTATAGTTGTTGTTTTTGTGTACTTAATACTTGCTTGGTTTCGAGTCTTTTTTTTTTTGGGATTTTTATGTTTTTCTTTTTGAATTTGCTTTAACATTTACAGCACATATTATATATAAAAGAAAGTTCTACCTTTTTGGGCGCGCATAAATAAATAAAACTTCATTTGTTGCTCTTTATTTCATATATGTATGTCTGGGTAATTTGTGTTTTGTTTTTTGTTTGCTTAAACTTAATTTATTAATAATGTTTAAAAAATGTCTTGATGCTTTACGCGCTGCTCCTCTCTTTGCTTTACTAACATTTCCTTCACTTCCCCCTCACATGTTATGCTTTATGCTTAATTATGTGCTTTTTACGTATGCTTAGCTTAAAATGCTGCCCATCCCAGCTCCCTCATTATTGTGCTCTATCGCCAGACGCACACATACTAAATACAAAAGTGTTAGTATGTAAATTCAATTTGTTTTTGTATCTTCTTCATTTTTCTTTGTTAGTTATTGTAGTTTGCCTTTGTAACGCTCTCTCTGTGTGGCTGTGTGTGTGTGTGTCTGTTTGTGAATGTACTTGCAGTTAACGGTAAATCAAATGTGACAAATGCAGCTCTCTTGGGTGTAGAGCGACGATCGAAAGAGAGTCGTTTGCAATGCACCAAAAGAGCGTCATTTGCTGCCCACCAATTTGAATTCGCTTGGCGCTTAAGAGTATGAAACAGCGACAAGTGACAGTCAAATTGTTGGGTTTTGTTGAATTAAAGTGCAAAAGCTAGTTGAAAAATATTTTGTTGATTTTGTTGTGCTATTTTAGTGTCTAGCAGTAAAAACATGTTACCGACTATTTAATTAAGTTTTGTATTTTGTTTAGTTGTTTGCGAAATTGTTTACGTTGTTTCTAGTTTGCTTTAAAAATTGGTTTATTTGTACTTTTGGCAATGATCTTTTACGAGTGTCCGTCCACTAACAGTTTTTTATTTTCTTTGTGTTTTCTTTTTGCATGATCGTTTGTTTAAAATATTAATTTGTTTATTTTGCTCGCGATAGAAACTCAAGCAAAAATTACTTTAGCATTTTATTTATTAGATATTTTTTTTGTTTTTGTTTTGTTTTATTTTTTAGTGATTCAGTTTTTGTTTTCTAGTGTTTGTTCTGTAGTTTGTTGTTTGTAGTGTGTTTTGATTCTTAACAGAAAGAGAGAACATCAAATTAAAAGTAACGCATTTAACAGAATTTGCCAACAATATAGCTGCTCTTAAGAAACTAAAGTTTGCTTGTTTTTTTTTCTTTCTATATGTATGTATATGTATCTAGCTGCATTTGTGTTCTTCCAGTGTATAAACTAGGCATGTGTGTGTGTGTATGTGTTTGTGTGTAGTGGAGTTTTGGTAGTGTTTTACTGCATGCTGGAATGGTGCCTGGCTGGGTCACCCTGCCACCTGCTGCCCGCCTCCTACCCTCGTATGGCACACGAAATCAGGACGCGTTTACAAAAATAAATTGCTGTGAGAATATTTCAGTCGATTGTGGCATAAGCTTAGAGCTAAACGGCAATAGATCCAAGCGACTGCAACTACTGTTACTGTAACTGTTACTGCTACTGTTACTGCTACTGCCAGTAGTAGTAGGTTCCTCCCATCTGGCGCTGGTAGGCGCTCAGGTTTGCTGCGCTGGCGGCGGCGGCTGCTGCGACGGCTGCTGCGGCGGTGGCACGCCCACCGCTGCCGACTGCTGCCCTGTTGGGCCATTGGCATTGCCAGTGTTGCCATTCGCGTTGGTGTTGCCATTCGCGTTGTTGTTGGCATTGGCGTTGCCATTCGTGGACGAGGTTGGACTGCTATTGCCCTCCTGATAGGGCCCCGTAACCACACATGGGTGCATAGGAAACAGGGTCGTCCACGACGTTGTTGTTAGTGTTGGTGCGTGGAGGGCAACTTTCTCGTTTTTTGGCTGCTCGCTGTTGTTGTTGTTATTGTTACTATTGTTGTTGTTGTTGTTAGTTGACTGCGACTTCTTGCTGGCATCGGTCTTCTTCTTTTTGCTGCCACTGGCGCCATTCTTGACGGCACCGCCACTACCATTGCTTTCCTTCTTAATGCTGGGCAGCGGCGGCGGCACCGTCGCCGCCATTTGTTCATCGTGCATATCCTCATCCTCGTCATCCTCGCCCGCGGCCTTTTTCAGCAAGCGCTCGCGCTCCTCTTTGGCTTTGTTGTCGAGGTCCGTGTTGATCTTCTTCACGCGCATCTTTTCCTCCCACTCATCGATGCCGTGCCTGGCCCGATTCAAGTTGCGATGCTGGTAGAAGATCAGGGTCATGCGCGTCGGCTCATGTCGATCGGGTCGCCGCACAGCTGTTGTTGCATGCATCTCGTGCTTGGCGCACTCGATCAACACGCTGCCATGATTCAGCGCAATGGCAACGCCGCCCATTTGCGGATCCTGGAACGCTTCGATGTTCTCATTAATCTCGGCCACCTCGCCGATGGGCTCGATTTTGCTGGAATTGGTGCTGGCGGGCGCGACTGTTGTCGTCGTGTTGTTGCCGGCTCCAGGTGTGTTGCCGTTGGCATCGTTGCTGTTGCTGCTGTTGCTGTTGTTGCCAATGGGCGGCACTTCAGCCGTAGGCGCTGCTGTGGGCGTGGCAATGGGCTCCACGCTATTAACCGATAGTTGACCGTTGCTCAAATCGGGCAAAACCGTTTGGGGTGGTGTCGCCGGCAACTGTTGCTGCTGCTGCTGCTGTTGTTGTTGAGGCTGTTGCAGTTGCTGTTGTTGCTGCTGCTGCTGCTGTTGCAGTGGAGCCACTACTGTTGGCAACGTGGGCTTAACCAGAGTCGCTCCCGACGGCACAGGACCATGCGTGGCCAACATTGCACCACCAGCTCCTCCGCCGGTGGGCCCATAGCTGCCAGAGCCCTGATGATGTCCATAAACATTCCAGTTGGGCGACGGCGACGTCGGCGGCGGCGTCTGCTGCGGATACATGCCATACGGTGAGTACGCCTGATGATGATACCCATAATTATAGTTCATGTTCTGGTAGGCGTCGTATGCGGAGTAGGCCGAATGCGGCGGCGGTGGTGGCGGCGGGTACATCTGATAGTTGTTCGGGTACTGCGAGTACTGGTAATCGCTTGGCGGCGGCTTTGGCTTGACGAAGCCCTCTGGCGTATGCGGATGATGGTGGTGGTGGTGATGAAGTGGTGGTGCTAGATTAGTCATGGGTTGCATGGCTGTCAAGGCGGTTAACTTACTCTCGACCAGTGAGTGATTCACCAGCGTTGTCGAGTCGGGATTCTCCTCGCTGACGCGACTCTTTAGCTCACCACCAACAACTGTGGATATATCGACACCACTCTGCTGCTGCTGCTGCTGCTGTTGTTGCTGCTGCTGCTGCTGCTGTGCGTGCTGTTGCTGTTGCTGCTGTTGTTGCAGCTGCTGCTGTTGTTGCTGCTGCTGTTGCTGCTGCTGTTGCTGCTGTTGCTGCTGCTGCTGTTGCTGCTGCTGTGCGCTCAGTGCTGGTGACGTCAGATTGTTGTAGCTGGGCGTATAGCCATTGCTGGCATCGTGCTGAGCAGGCGTAGGCGTCACTGTAGCAGGCGTGGCAGGCGGCAGAGCTGTGGCTGTTGCTACTGGCGCAACTGTTGTTGCTGTTGTCGCTGTCGCAGCTGCAGCAGCTGCTGCTGGCGGCGTAACCGTGTGCGTATGCTGCACCAGCGGCGCTGTGGGCGTCGTCGGCGTCAGAGCAGCACTGCCGGGAGCCATGCCCATGGCATGAGGCGGCCAGTTGCCGTAATAGTTGCGCGAGTCAATGTAGGAGCCCGTCTGGTAGTCGTAGGAGTAGGGCGAGTCCAGGACGGTGCTCGAGATCTGATTGGACTGCAGCTGGGCGTCCGTGAAGGTGTCGATCATGGTGGCCATGTTCATGAGGCTCGAGCTCGAGCTCATCAGCTGATTGGGTTGGGCGCCAGGTGGAGCGGGCACAGCGCCAGCTGCGGCGTTGCTGTTGTTGGCATTCGGATTGGCGCCGTGCTGATTGACCGGGGGTGTGCTGAACGCGCTGCCCGCCGGACTGGGATTGTTCGTCACTGGCGTCTGGCAGCGCGGCGAGGGAGTCGTTGGCGGCGCCGAGCCGGGCGTGGATGCGCTCGAGTTATTCGACTTTGCCTTCGACTTTGATTTGCTGCTGCTGCTGCCGCCGCTGTTGCTGGCGCCGTTCTCCTTCTTGATGTGCGCTGCGCCCAAGGCGGGCGGACTGCTCTGCTGGGATTGGGCCAGCTGGGACTGGGATTGGGTACCGTTGCTGGAGCTCTGACTGCTGCCATCGGCAGCGGCGTCCTGTTCGCCATCCGGCGTCGCCGGCTCGTCCTCTTTGCGCTTCTTGCCGTGCCGGCGACAGGGTATCAGCGGCGTGGAGCGTACTCGTACTTCGCAGGGAAATCTGTGTGGGAAGAGATGGTGTGGAGATTAATGCTTGTCCCGACTGGCACGAGCTGCAGCGGGTAGCTCAAAACTCAACACTACACTCACTTGTCCAGCATTTGCACAGCTCCGGTGCGATGCTTATCACGCTGCCCCTCGACGCTCTCGAACTCGTCCGTGCCGTCCATCGTGTAGAGCGGCAGGACGTGGAACTGCTCGTCGTCGGGCAGGCGGCTATCGCGATTGGTGGGCTTCAGCAGTGCCACGTGCACCGTGCAGCCATCCTGCATGTTGTGCAGATCGCGATGCGAATGCGCACAGAAGTCTAGGCAGGCGGTCACGCCCGAGAAGGGCTTGCCCGGCTCCAGGCCGAGCCGGCAGTCGGATGCCTCGTGCTCGTACTTGGTCTGATTGTCATAGGAGCGCGGGCACACCTGCTTAAAGACCGGCGCCAGCAGCGTGGCAATCAGATTCATGTGATCCTCAATCGCTGCCTCTTCGCTCTTCACCGACAGCCGAAACTTGCGCACGGTCTTGGAGCGCGCATATTTGCAGCCATTGTAGTACATGGACCAGCTGCAGCCAAAGCTGTACGAGGCGCCTGACGACTCCGGATCCAGTCCTGCAAGAAATAACATACACATTAAGGACTTGCCTCACATGAAGCGAGAGTGAGGTACCACTCACCTTGGCAGGCACAGGTGCGATTCTCGTTGGTGGCGCAACGGCGCGTGGTGGGTAGTCCGTACTTATTGAGCTTGGGTATCAAATTCTTGTAGGCGTTGTCTGCCTCCAGGCGCGGCATGCCATCCCAGGCCACCATGCACACCACGATGTATGCAGCGATGCATCTAAAAATGGAGAGCGAGAGGATACACTCACTTTTCTGGGAGACTGTTGTACTTCAGGACTTACCTGTGACCCGGACGCTTCTTGACAACAACAAGTATCTTCTCCTCGGGATCGGCACGCCTGATCACCCACTTGGCCACCGGGCAACCCTGCGAGGTTTTGCCTTCCTTGCCCGTGTAGACGATCTTCTCGATGCGTAACTGACGGCCCGTCAGCTGGCAACGATCCTCGAACTCGCGTCGCAGCTCCATCAGCGTGGATGCGGTGCCTATAGGGACAAAATTAGGGTCAGATGCGGCATCTTTAGGGGTAGGTTCAAGGCTTGTAAACATGGCCAAGCATTTTTGCGACTCTCTCTTACTTTTAAATAGGAATTTAGCCTTAGCTGAAGTGAAGCCCTATCTAAGGTCTTGACAGCTTTAGCCCCTAGAGCATCGCAGCTCCATCAGCATGGATATGATATGAGAGGATCAGAATTTCTAGGCGCGGATTCTTTGTGAACCAGGTAATGCATCAATTTATAAAAGAAATCCATCCTTAGTTTAACTGGAAACCTGACCTCTTTACAGATTTATCCCCAAGAGCGACGCAGCTCCATCAGCATGGATATGATATGAGAACTAGACGAGGCTCAGCATTTCTAGGCGTCTAGGATTCAAACCTTGTAGACCAGGTAAGGCATCAGAGAGTTTCCCTTCCCTTACCCTTTAAGTCTAAGTCTGCCAACCCGTCTTTCTTACAGTCTTACCCCCCGGAGGAGCTGTCGATAAAATTGAGATGTGCTGCTGCGAAACTCACCCAGATGTGTGTAGTAGGTGCCCGGTTCTGGAGGATTCTTGTCGGACTGAAAGCACTCGCATTCGGGTATTTCCGTCTTGTTGCCCTTTTCCAGGCGATCCGTCGTATCGAACATGGGATTGATTTTCTCGTGTTTAACAATTATTTCAGGTATCTCATCCTGTTTCTGCTTTTTGGACTTGGCCTTCACACCATTGTGCGCCTCGGCCAGCTCGTCCTCGTCCAGCAGCTCCTCCTTGGGCTGTATGCCCAGGCCTAGGCAGGTGCCGTCCTTGAGATGCTCCGCAGTGGGTGGCCTGGTGCCGCCCTGGCGACAGCACGAGAAGCCGTTGTTTAGCGGCTTACCCTCACCCAGATAGGGATAGCCATGTCCGTGGCCATGTCCCAGCATGCCCATGTCCTCCAGCTTGGGCTCCAGCATGCCGTGGTGGCTGAGATGAGGCGGCGGCGGTGCTCCGTGTCCGAGCGCATAGCGATGCGCCGGAATGGGATACGCGTGCGCCGGTATGTCCTTCTCATAGTTTGTAGGCAGTGGTATGATGTTGTTGGTGTCCGGCTTGCGGTCCAGCTCCAGCATGCTGTTGCCGTGCCCATGGCCATGTGGTCCATGGTGGGCGGCATTCGATGGCGGCTTGCCACGGCTACCATAGGCCGCTGCCGCCTGATAGCCGGGCACGAAGCTCTGCTGGAAGTTCTGCTGGAAGCTGCCTGCGCCGGCGCCATAGTACGCCGAGTTGTGATGGTAGCCGGCGTAGTCCTGCTGGTGCTGCTGCACCGGCTGACCCTGGCCATCGTTTTGGCAGAAGTCGGCATATTGAATGAAGTTCTGGTAGTTGCGCTCGTAGCCCTCCATTTTGTTGGGCTGCCCGCCCGGCGGTGGCGGCAATAGACCCGGCTCCGTCTTGATATATTGCCCGTGATAGTCCTGACCGCTGCCCGGCGGTGGCGGATAGTGTGCGCCCAGAGCCTTCAGTCCTCCGCCGCCCGGATCGTTGGCATTGCGATCCCGTTCAATTTCGGCGGCGGCGGCCTCCGCGGCGGCTGCAGCGGCACGGCTCGCCTTGCTGCGACTCCGCGATTTCTTGGGCTGAGGCTGTGCCGGCGGCTGAATGGGCATGGCCGGCTGTGGCGGCACCTCCGCATGGCTGATGGTTGTGTGTTGTCCTGGCTGGTGTTGTTGCAGCTGTAGCTGCAGCTGATGGTCCGTGCCGGCATAGCCGCTGCCCACGCTGGGCTTCTTAAACGAGTTCGCGTGGTGCGGCTTCCAGATTTGATCGCCACCACCTCCGATGGGCTCGGCAACGGCCAGCGGTGGTGCGACGCTGCTCGAGCCGTTGGCGCTCAGCGCCGTCTCGGGGCGGAGATGGTGGCTATACGATAAAAAATGACCGGTCTGCTGTTGCTGCTGCTGCTGCTGTTGCTGTTGGGCGGCAGTTGGGGCTGTTGTCTGGCCCTGCAGCTGGATGTCGGGCGGCGCATCCTTGGAATCGCTCTTGCGCATAATCATGGACTTGATGCGCGTGTTCAGATGCAAGCGTTCGCCCTGACCCTGCGCCGGGTAGCCATCGCTCGTCAGCTGCTGCTGTTGCTGCTGTGCAGGCGGCGGCGGCTGTTGCTGCTGCTGCTGCTGTTGCTGCTGATTGCTCCAGTTCCAGTCCTGCATGGGCGGCGAGCCAAGATGTGGATGCGTCTGCTGCTGTGGCTGCACGCTGCTGCCATAGGGCTGCAGTCCGTTGCCATTCGGAGATGGCGGCACCTGGCTGGGCGACTGCGAGACGAGGCGTGGCTGCTGCTGTTGCTGTTGCTGTTGTTGCTGCTGCTGCTGCTGCTGGATGAGGCTGCGCGTGGGCGATGGAGGCACCGTTTGGGCCTGTGGCTGCATAGGTGAGCTAGCTGGCTGGGCCACAACCGTATTACCAGGGCCAGTGGCTGTCGGCGCGGCTGCGACGCTGGGCGCTGCTGTTGTCGTTTGTTGTTGTTGCTGTTGTGGCTGTTGTGGCTGTTGTTGCTGTTGTTGCTGTTGCTGAGAACCGCTGAAGTCGCCTGGATACCCGTTACAGTTGAGTGAGCGCGGCGGCACGCTGCTCACCCGCGGATATCCAGGCGTGTCGTTTCCCGACATGCTCTTGCTCAGATCCCCGCCAAGATGCTGTTGCTGCTGCTGCTGTTGCTGCTGCAGGCCAACGGCTGGTGGCGCCGGCGCCGTCGACACTTGCCCGGCATAGCTAACACCGCCGGGCGGAAAGCCGGCGGCAACGCTCTGCAAACCCACCTGATTAATCGGTGCACTGGAAAGCTGCTGGCTCTGGAAGTCGTAGCGCTGCACGGGCGCACCATATGGCGAACGGCCGTAGTTGGGATCGAAGCCGAGACCCGTCTGCACGTAGCCATTTGATGGATAGGCGTAGGACTGTGTCTGGAAATCCAAGGAGTTGAGTGATGTGATGGCTGGAGTATTCTGTGGTATTTGCTGTATGAACTGGTTCTGCCAGCCCTGCGACGGATCCGCCTGCCATGTCGGATAGAAGGCCATGGGTGCCTGCAAAAGGAATAAAAATATATATATTTAATAGAATCAATATTTATTTTATAAGTGAGTGCTAAACGGGGTTAAGCGTTGTCTGAAAAGGGCCCAGTCGGCGGCCATCAATTAGTTACGCATTTAGTTACAAACTAAGTAGTTACTAAACTTAAGGTTTATATTATATTAGAGCTCAAATTAACTATATAGCCTATGTAAACTACCCTTTTATTTTAGGCAACTTTAGGGTTGTTTTATGGAATTGTTTTTCAGTTTTCCTGTTGCTGCCGGACATAAATCAAATTAGCCGCACCCTAATTCGACGACCTACTAATTGGGCCAGGCCCCAAAAACAAATAAGCACAACAAAATATGAAAAATAACAGCATGCCAACTATTTATAGTCGACATTATACACAACTTCCGCTTGTTGTTGATTAACGCGCCTTGAATTATGCTACACTTTTTGTACGGGCGTGTTTATTTGCTTCTTTTACGTCGTTTTGCGTCTGGCAAACAAAATGCGGAACTGGCCAAAATAAAAATCATTTGCGTTTTTATGAGCGATGAAAGTGAAATTTTCTATATGCAAACATGAGGCAACAACAACAACACATAACAATGGCAACTGTCGGCGACAGACGCACAATAAAATCAAATAAATATAAATTTGAATACAAATAATTTGAATAGTTGTGTGTATTTTTTTATAGGCGAGTTTAATTGACTACTCCGTTCTGTTTCGGCTCCGACTGTGTTTGTTTTCATGTGCTGCTGTTGTTGTTGTTGTTTGTGCAGTAAAAATAGACTTTTATTTTGTACATATATCTGTGGAAATGTGCACCTGGTGATGACAGCAGCTGCTGCTGCTGCTGCTGTTGTTTGTTGTTGTTGTTTGTTGTTGCTGCTGCTGCTGCTGCTATGTGGTCTGCGTTTTATTTTTGAAAGCATTTAGCAATCATTGATAAAAATCGAAAAATTGTTTATGAATGAACGCGTGTATAAACGTATACGTATGTGTGTGAGTGTGTGTCGCTCTGCACAGCGTTCACTTGATTCGATTTGTGTGCACAGCTGCAGCTGATTGGGGCGTGTCGCGTATACGCAACGTTGTCCGCACACAGTTTTAATTTATGTTATTTGTTGTTTGCTGCTATTATTATTTTTTCCGTTCAGCGAATGGAAAACGAAATGAACTGATTGACTAGCCAAACTGTTTGTGAAGGTCAATGCTCGCCGTTGTTATTGTTGATTGAAAAATATCCGAGTTGTGTGGAATTGCTTGTTGTTTTTGTACTCACCATAGGTTGTTGCGGTTGATCCTTCATGGTTTGAATTTGTGCGGTTATTTGATGCTGCTGCTGATGCAAATGTTGCTGTTGTTGCTGCTGCTGCTGCTGTGCGTGCTGCTGCTGCTGCTGATGATGTTGCGTTGGCTGTTGCTGCTGCTGCAAGTGTTGCTGTTGCTGGAAATGCTGCTGCGGCTGTTGCTGCTGCTGATAGTGCTGCTGCTGCTGTTGTTGCTGTTGCTGCTGATGTGACAACAATTGCTGCTGCAGCTGCTGTTGCTGATACTGCTGCTGCTGCTGCTGTTGCTGCAAGCTGCCCGCTGCGGCAACTGCTGCTGTTGTTGTATTTGGCGATTGCTGCGGCAACAGTGTTGCTGCTGGCGTTGGACTTAGACGTGGCGATGTTGCTGATGCGGCTGCAATGGCACCAGCGGCTGCATTCAGTTTGTTTGCTTTGGTGGAGGTTTTACGGGCGCGTGACTAAAAAAACAAAAACAACAACAAAATTGTTAGTTAATGGCATTGATAAAAGTAAGTGTAACGCTTAGATAAATGCATATGAATATGCATGCATAAATTATGGGGCAATTCGGAGCAGTTGCTGTTGTTGCTGTTGTTGGCCGCGCTTTAAAAATGATATACAATTAATTTATGGGCTGGTGGGTGTCTGAGGCTTGACCTTCGCGACAACAGCTGTTTTATGGTATTTGCCTTTCGGCAATGCACTTTTTACAACCTAATTGTACAATGGCCCCGGAGCTGTTCTACTTGGTGTTGCGCCCGGCAATTAGTTGAATAATTTTATTTCTTTAATTAAGGAAATTTGTTGTTAGACGCGCAAATATTTTAATTGCCACAAATTCAGCCCCGCGTTCAGCCCCGCGCCCGGCCGTTTTGTGGTGGCAGCGCTTGTATAATTTATGCTTGCAGCGGACACATAATTTCGACTTGTTTTTGAGTCTGCACGCCGGCAACATGTAAAATTTATGTGGCCAGCGATTTATGTGCAATTTATTTGTGCAGCCAAATACATAAAAAAAGAGCAAAAATGCAGCAAAAACAACAGCAACAACGACGACGACGACGACGGCAACAGCTGCGGTTGCCATTTATTGTTGTTGTTGCTGCTGCTGCTGCTGCTGGTTGCAGTTGCAAGTTGCAAGCTGAACTAAAATATGTTGCGCGCACCATTAAAGGCTCCGAAAATTTATGTTTATAAAAGACTTTTGTCGTTTGCGCACCGAAAGAGCTGGTCCGAAGTTAGTTGTATTTTATTTTATATATTGCTTATATTCTTGAATCTTTTTCTATAGAAGATCCTTAACAAAATATTAAATCATATAAGGCATAAATATAATTTCGAGTTGGTAAAAACCCTAATAATATAAATATTTATAGCTGCACATTATCAATGTATTACGCGAAAATTTATACTGATTAGCGATAATTGTTTGTCTGTTTGCCATTTCATTGATAAGTCGAATAAGGCTGTTTGAATTATCAGAGCCAGTTTTCAATATATATAGAACATTTGATACGATTATAATTATAGTGATTTCTCAATCATTTAATGTTTTAATAAACGCCTTTAATTAGCCGGCCCTAATTACTGCTCCAATTAGCAGCTCTAGTTAAGTCTTGACTTTGTCTCTGGCCTTTAAACTTTTCGCAATGCAAACATTGTACACAACTTTGGAACTGGCCAATTAGAGAGGCTTATTTCTAGAATTTTTCCAGACAATAAATACATTTTGCACACACATGAAATTTGCATAAAGCGACAAACCAAATCGTTTGTGCAAATTGCTAGCAAAAATTTGATTTATATTTTACACATGTGTAAAATATTTTCCAGCTCAGATGTGTGTGTGTGTGTGTGTGTGCGCTTGGACTTGGCCAGCATAATGCAATGCAAATACGACAACGACAACAACAACAACAACAAGGAGTCCAATTGGAATTCAAATGCCTCTTCGGCTCTGCTGGCCCCAGCTGGTGACAAAGCAACAAAATAACTTAAGCAAACAGAGTTTGGAGCCATTTATGTGTATTTGCAAAAGTTTGAAGGTGAGAGGGGAGAGGGAATGGGGGCGACACGGTGGCAGGTTTGTGGGGCAGGCTTTGTGAATGCTTTCTAAAAATATTTGCAATGCAAACAATGTGCTTGTCGCAGGTGCCAAAAAAAAACTGATGAAAAAAACAAATATAATAAAATTAAAATAAATTTGCACGCAATTTGAAAATCGAAAAATTGGCAATTATTTGTGTGCAGAATGTCTTATGATAATATACGTAAAATAAATACACGTAGATGTAGACGATTGGCTGTGCATATAAGGCTTTAATTAAGTTTCTTGCATGTTGCACAGTGTTTGCTTAGGCCATGGCAAACAGCAAAGGCAACAACAACGACAACAACAACAACAACAACAATTGCAATGACAACAAGAGGCAATAGTTAAATAAAAACGACATGGGCCATTGTAAAGTTATAAAACACAAAGTGGAAAACCTAACTTTTTATGACGGAAGCCATAAATACTCTAACAACATAGTTAAACAAAAGATTGAATAACATTTTGCACAAAATAGGTTTAAAATTGAGCAAAATCGAACTCTTAAATATTATATTTTGTATAATATGAAGGTGTAGGATATAAAAAACATCAAGTGATAAAATATGTAACTCTTGATGTTTCAAATATTAAATACCCCAGTATATATTATAATATATTTAATTTTAATGGATATAACAATCACGCATATTCAATCCTATTTTCAACTCAACATCTGTTTGATATTATGCTGAAGAAAACTTCCGAAGAACCTTCAATAGCAACTTGGGAATACATTTTGTTAGGGCATGCAAGTTGGCGGCATTTGTAGGTGCATTTTCCCACTATTTACAAAGTTCATAAAAGTTAATTAAATGTTTATGAGCCTCGCTTGTTTGCAACGCGGCGACTTTGCTGCTTTTTATATCTTTTCTTTCGACAATTGTTGTTGTTTTCCTTTATTTTTTGTTCTTACTATGTCAATTGAGTTTTTATTTATTTCTTGGTAATGTAAACAAATGCAAGCCAAAGCGGCGAATAGATAGAACCAGATAAGGATTAGTTATCTGTGAGTGCAACAACTGCAGCAGCAACAACAACAGCTGCAACATGCAACGAACTAAACGCGGTGGCCTTAGTCGTTTTAAGAGACAGAGACAAAAAACAAATCCTACTCCTCCTGCTCGTCAGAAGATTTTACTGAAAATGCGTTGAAAAGAAAATTGCGCGCTGAGTAAACAGCAATTAGTTGTGTGTGTGTGTGTGTGTGAGCGAGTGTGTGTGTGTGCGCGCGAGTGTGTTTATGTGTTTGTAAATAAGTTTATTACTATTTACATTGAATTGCGCGCCGTGCTGATAAGCAAGAAGGAGAGAAATAACAAAATAAAAGGTAAAGTTAAGTATTTTTAGTTCGGCTCGAACGACGCAGCCGATGCGCTACAATGCGTACGACTGACCAGGCTAATGGCTTATAGATATGCATACTGCACTCGTGTGTGTGTATGTGCCTGTGTGTGTGTGTTTGTGTGTAAGTATTGTGCGTGCAAGTCGGATCTGTGGCACAGCCATATACTTAGTTGCATGAAAGAGGCGTCGTTTGCGATGTGACGTTCATATAAATAATGCTTTGAAGAGGATAACAACTGTATAATCAAAATCAGCAGAGCCAAAAAGGATCAAACTGAAGTTTAATGAAAAGTTTAAGACCAAGTTAGAGGCATGGCCCATTCTTGCATTTGCCAAAAAATTGGTATAGCCAAGGTTCATTTCATAGCTGGATTCCTGAGTTCATTGGCTCGATTCGAACTGGCGAGAATATGTTGTAGTTTGATTTTCTACTTCTCCAAGGCCTAGTTTTAACTATGCATGTATGAGCATTTGAATAATTGGCACAACTAGAAAATTCTTGGGCTTTTGCCTAGTTACAAGACCTAACATTGGCCACCCTTTCGCTTTGCCCTGTTCTGGCTGTCTGTCTTTCTCTGGCATTGATAAGCGCGAGGACGGAGCGCAATAATAACACCTCGAGCTGATGTGTGAGTGTGTGTGTGCGTTGTGTACCCTGTCATAAATTACACACATAACAGGGTATGCCATATAAATTATTTACATGTCCCCGACGTCAAAGTCTGCTGATAAGTCGAGGGGAAGGCGAACGCAGCAACAACAACAATATGAATAAATAAAAAAAACAAGGTGAAAAGCAGCAAAAAATAAATGCAGCGAAATGTAAATAAAATATAAATAAATCAAATATTAGTTATCATGTTTTCTTTGCCGTTGTGTGTTTATTTTCCTCCTTATCAACGTTTGTCAGTACAGTAAACATTATAGCCAAGAAGTATCGAGAGATATCGCTTAACAAATTTAGTACAAGGGTTATAATGGGCCTTCACGAATGAAACTCATTCTATAACTCTTTAATTTGGACATTTATTGGAATATATGTATATGGAGGAGAAATAGGTGAGCCTCATCTATATCTATATCTATATCTATACCTATATCGATCAACTCTTTCAGATATGTTTGATACATATGCATAGGGATAGATATATAGAGGATAATTAGTTAGTAAGTTAGATAAATAACTTGGATATAAGATTCTTTTCAGCATCCCAAATCTTTTGATTTAGTCTGAAATTCGTTCTATGAAGTTTTTTCCACGTTTAATGATAATAGACCCATGATGACAAAACAGAATCAACACCAAGTGTAAGCTGCTTTGTTGTAAGGAGTTGCGATTAAAATAGCAGCAAATTTATATGCTTTAGTTTGCACATCCCAGTAAATGCTTGTGCAGCAAAATGTTGCATTTAGCAGACAGAGAAATGTACACGTTCCGATTTGCTTTAATGGTGTATGCAATTTCCATGATTGTGGCAGGACCTCCTCCTTTGCCAATGCTTGACTGCAGGCTCCGTCTCTCAACCGGAGGCAGCTCAAATATTTAACTTGTATTTCGTATTCATGCTAATTTTGCATTTTCCACAATTTTCTCACCCACAATGCGCCTTGGCCACGTTTGCATAAAATGCTATGCACGTTATTATTTTGCAGGCACTGTGTGAGGCATTCACAGCTCCTGTTCGCTTCAATTTCTTGTGCATGGACACAGTGCGGCTGGCTGGTTGGTTGGCTATCAGCTAGCTTACACACACACACACACATACAGACACATAAATTACCACTGTATGTGTGAGGGTGAGGCTGGGGTGTGTGCATGTAATTGTACGTGCAGAGTGTGCGCCGTTGTTCGGGCTACAGTTTCCTTTTTATCCTTTGCTCTGCTTTACTCAGCTTGTTAGCATGTGTTGACGTTTATGTGGGCCTGCCTGTGTATGTGTGTGTGTGTGTGTGTGTGTGTGTATTTTTATTCAATTTAGCTTTCAATTAGGCTGCAATTGTTCGTTTGTTCGCTGCGCT